AAGAAAATTAGTTGTGTTGTCGAGGTACTGAAGTGTTAAAGTTGCATGTCTCTTTAACGTTCCGTTGGATGTGTATCCTGAAGTTGTCTTTCTTCCATGTATTCAAATGGGGATATTGAAACCTGTTCATCTCCGTGGGTTTTTTTTAAAGTGAAGATTTAATTGCACGTAAAAGTCAATAATTTTAAGGTTTGCAAGGTGCAACTGGTGCGAGCATGTTCACGTTTTCTTCCGAGAAAAACAGAAATAATGTAAATACAAATTAACGCAACAGTTAAATATTTTCTCATGGAAGAAAAAATCAAAATTCTAACCTAACTTTGGAAAACTAAAAATTATCGATTTTTAGGTACAATGAAATATTCATAAAAAAAGCACGGAGATGAACATGTTTCAAAATTTGAATACATGGGAGAAAGGCAACTTGAGACACAAGAATTCAAATTTCAAAACCCGCATACAGTGCCACCTTAAGACGAGCCTTCATGCTCCCTTGAGGAGAACTTAAAATTAGTTCTCCACCGGTAGTCTTCACTGAAGCCTATTCAGTGCAATTTACATGAAAATTACTTTTAAAAATTCTATATTTTTAACTTAACAAAGTGATCAAATCAGATTTTAGATCACAATTTCATCCTAATTAATGAAGAAACAAATGTTTACATTTAATTTTTAATTGAAACAGAACAGAAACTAAACCAAAACGTCAATCAGATCCTAACCAACAAATAAATGGGGGTAGCATCTACTCTTTGCACGTTTCTTTTCGGTCTTTCATTTGTTTCTGGGAAAAATGAGATTTGCGTTACGTTACACAGGGGGAGGGGGGGTATTGGTCTTGCGTTACACTAGTGTGACAGAGGGGGGGAGGGGTCTAAAAAAACTCGATTTTTGCGTTACATAATTTATGAACGGCCCCTTAACCCGTTAGGGACCAACTACACATATTTGTGTAGTTTTTTGCTTTCCCTTGGGGACCAAGTACACAAATATGTGTACTTTTTTGCTTTCCGTTAAGGACCAAGTACACACATTTGTGTACTATTTTGTAGTTACGTTGGGGACCAACTACACATATTTGTGTATTTTTTTTTCTTTCCGTAAAGGACCAAGTACACATATTTGTGTACTAATTCCACGTTACGTTGGGGACCAACTACACACATTTGTGTACTGCGGAAAAATTTTCAAGAAGACCAAATACACACATGCATACAAGTCAAAATTTTATTTTACAAAATTTTAATACGGATCATTTATTTATGCACATTACCAAAAATTATATATCTGCAAAAACTACAACTGTAGTTCGCTGCAATGCATTGTAGGACTAATTTTAAATTGTTCACGCTCAGAAATAAGCGGACCCGTATTTTGGCGTTTTCCAGAATAGGTATGTTTTCGCCCGTGACGGAATTTTAAAAAAATGAATTTTTAAAGATGCAAAAAACGATAATTTTTTGGAAACTAAAAGTTTTTAGCCCGAGTCAGGGCTTATGGAACCATCATGTCCGTCTGTCTGTCCGGCACGATAGAGCCAAAACGGATGAACCGATTGACTTGAAATTTTTACCATATGTATATTGGACAAAGTTAGGAAACGAGTTCGAAGATGGGCGAAATCGGTCAAGTGGTTGACCAGTGGGGATCATCGGAGTGGGTGGGGTATTATGCACCAAAATTTCAAAATTGTTGTAGAGAGTTGAAATTTGGTACAGAGGTTGCTAATGGCTTCTACTAGATAAAAATGACTTCAAGTTGGAAAAATTTTCATCTTGAGTGACCCTATGGGGTGACCCATATCGATTTTAAAAAATCATCATATTGAACTGAAATTTGGTGTAGAGGTTGCTTATGGGTTTTAATGAAAGAATATGATATGATATTGGTAAAATTTTTATCTGGAGCCACCCTATGGGGTGATGCATACCGATTTTTAGAAATTGCTTTAAAAATATGAAATCCAGCACAATGATACTTAATGGCTTCTAATTAAAGAATATGAAGTTAAAAGTGAGCAAAGTGCGACCAGAGTGACCATATGGGGTGACCCATACTGATTTTTCAAAATCGTTATATCGAGCTGAAATTTCATATGGAGGCTGAAAAAGTGAAAACCACTGCTGGGTAAAACATGCATGCAGCTTAGAACTTCAGGATGTTGAAGAAGCCCACTGGTCATGGTGGTCAAGGCACATGATTTGTAACTAATTCAAAAATTTGACACCAAATAGTAGAAACTATCTAACAAACTTTTGACCATTCACAACGCGGTTTGTGCTATTATGTCGGTCAATTCGGAAAAAATTTAGAAGCGGGCTCGGACTTATTGAGTCAGGGACTATGTCCCTGACTCGGGCTATATGGAGTCTGCACTGTAGGTTTTTAATTTTAATTTTTTCCATCTGAAATTTGGTACGAAGGCTAAAAACCACTTCTTGATAGCAAATATAGCTTTAGAAGTTTAAAATGGTAATATTATGTCGGTCAATTCGGAGAAAAATTTAGAAACAGCTAGGACTCAAGATATGTGAAAACCACTTGGACCTTGCTAAACTATCAAAATGTATGAATCAATAACTTAATATTATTATAATGAACTGCATATTTATGCATATTAATTTTTACTAATATGCATAAATAAATGCTTAGTGTTAAATAAAATCATCAAAAGTTGCCGAAATAAATTCGGTCCTGTATGGTTTGCACACCCACTGTCAAATCGGTGACGTAACTACGCTTACTTTAAAATCATTTTGGTGACGTAGCTACACTATTGGTAAAATTAAATTGGTTATGTAGCAACAACTAACTGATAAAATTCTGGTCTCCAAAGGAAAGCAAATTTCAATTATTTCGGTCACAAAGGGGTTAACTGTCACAAAAAATCCAATTTTGCTCGGATTTTCATAAAATTTACATTTTTGTGATCCCAGATACTTGTGTGATTATATCCAGTAGATATCTCAACCTTTTTGAAATTTTCGGACATTCCACTGCTCATGAATCATTCGAAAATTTTCAAAATAATAAAGTTAACGTGCACTCAAACAGCAAAATACAAAAGAGGCACGAAGTCCGCTACGCCATAATTGTTTCCATCGCGTAATCCAACATCTGCTTGAAAACGAATACTTTCCTCTGTTTCTCCAGAATGAACAAGGTCACCTCACCAACCCCAACGTATAGCGCTAATGGTTCCAAACTTTTAACCCATCTCGCCATCTCCCTCCTTTTCCTTGCATCCCCAACATTCCCCAATCCTCTGTTATATTTATCCAACAAATTCTTACTCATTTCATTAATATGCACGCCAAAATTGCAAACCAGCATTTGCACAAAGACCGTTATAAGCACCCCTAATCCGCCCAGGAACAAGAACGCTGCAGGAATTATCGGATTCAATCGAATCACGATATACGAAAAGAAAACTGAACTCGCGCCCAGGAACATGATCGCGATGAACGTGCCGAATTTATTTATTAAGACGGGAATCCGATAAATAATTCCCACGGTGCGATACACTTTGAAGTCGCTTTGCCTCAGAACTCCTCCGTCCAAGTACCCGTCAGCCAGGTCGATGAGGTTTTTGAGCAGTTGGATTCCAATGAAGGATACCAAAGCGACCAGGATGAAACAGCGGAAGATGTCAATTATCCCGAGTAACAAGAAGATATATCTGACCAGAAATTGGACGAGGGTAGTTCCAAATGAGAGCGAAGCGGTGAATGTATCGATTTTAGGAAATTTTGAAATTATGAAGGTCATAATTGTGAGTCCAAGGTCCAATTGGAGCAGGAGAACGATCAGGGCCAAAGGAGGTGGAAGCAAGATGCCAGCCCAGACGAAGAGTCGGATGATATAGTCGAGAAAGGCGGGATGACGAGATAGCCTTCTGGAGACGGGGACAGCTAAAAATAGAAAGGATCTAGTTTCAATTTCGCGGGTAAATTTAATTCATAAGGCTTGAAAAATTTCCATACAGTCATAACCGTTAAAACGATATCTTCATTCAAGATTCATTCATTTTCGAAAAATGTCCATTGTTAATTTAAATAAATAACTGTAGTTATTTATTTTCAAATTCTGGAAAATTCAGATTCAAAATTCAAATTCAAATTCAAATTCATAAATTCATAAATTCAAATTCATAAATTCATAAATTCATAGATAGATGGGCCTATAGGCCCATTTAACTAGATAGATTCATTTTTATTCAATTTATTAGGTGGATAAACCATATGTATGTACTTATTAGGCATGAGGTGAAAAATAAATAATGAATACAATTATTTACCATTCTCAATTAATATGAAATGAATAGATACATATTTATGCAGTCCAAAATTTTGAAAAAAAATATTTTCATTTAGGGAATCATAGTTCATTCACTCTCCATCAATGAATGAATATGAACAGGTATGATTTCGTATGCGTATCAATTCGCCATACATATTTACATATTCTACAAGTTGAACACAGCAATGATATGTACTTACCTTTTCCCAATGCCTGACAGTACGGAATTCCCAGGCGGGCAGTTTCTACGACAGGATCATCAAATCCGAAAAAAATAATTAAAAACAAGAAGCACCGAGTCACTTCCATTGCCAGGAACCATTGAAAAGCTATTATGATGAACCGATCGAGTGGAGTGATGACAGGATTTGACATTCTCAACAATATTACGAACCCAAGAAGTATCGAAGTTCCGAGTGATAAGATAATTGGAGTAATTTTGTGGACAAGTTTGCCTGATTTTATGCCATATACACCAGTGGAGTTGCCACTTCCGCTTGGCTTGAATCGGCTTATTGAGTTGAGTTGAGTCAAGCTGAGTTGAGTTGACCTCAAGTAAGCCGTCGACTCAATAAGCCGGCTTATTGAGTTGTGAGTTGGAATGAGTTGAACATGGCTTGACTCAACTTGACTCAATAAGCCTCCGCCTCCTCGTGGTTACATACATATATACATTTATTTCTGCTCCACATTTATTATTTAAATTATTTTCATTTACGATGATGAAAGAAAGTATAATGTTTTAATGTGCCCCATAAAATCAAGACCCAAGTGCAGTAAACCACGAAAATCTTTCATATTTCACTAACTCAGCTGCAGATTATTCTCATCATCTTGACTTAAAAAAATTAATTAAAATGGGTGAGTTCTTCTAGTAAGCTTTAGTATAATTTTTGTACTGTTAGTAAAATATAAATCCACATCATTTTTATTGTATTTATTTTATATTTTGCGCATAGAACATGACAGCACTTCGCCGTCATTTATTGAGTCCAGTCCAACTTCTGATAATGTTGACGATCGAGAATCGGAAGTTAAAAACCGGAAGCAAAGGTCGGAAATGTTTAACCACTTTTGTTTAACGCCGAGTGGATCACAATATTCATGTAAATATTGCTCGTAAGTCTGCAGAATATATGTCATAAGCTTAAAATACATAAATCGTCTCATTAACACAAAATTGCTATCAATGCCTTTTTGTTATGAATTTAGAGATTTGTATCAAAACAGCGGAGGGGTCACCTCCAATTTGAAGAGGCACATGGAATCGAATCACCCGTTAGAGCTACAAGAATCAAGGAGCCGAGATTCAACGAAACGACCACGTAATTCTTCTGCTCCTAACCAACCTGTAAAATAATTATACTACTTGTTTTCGAGTTATTTCAAACTTAATTCATATCAAATTTATTTATTTATTTATTTAAGGTAACCCAAGAACGTCTTATCATTGCCCTGACAGAATTTGTCTTGGAAACGGACCAAGCGTTTAGTATTGTGGAGGAGCCATCCTTTCGACGGCTTTTGGGATTGTTGAACCCGGATATTAAAATTCCTGGTCGCACAACAATACGTTCCGAAATTTCCAAGAGGCATCAAACCGAGAAAGAGCGGATCACGGCCAAGCTACAGGTGCAATTTAAATGTCACAATGATATTACACAAAGTCTATATGTAAATATGTACATATTTGAATTTGTTTGTAGGAAATTCCGGGGAAACTTTCATTTATCCTGGATTGTTGGACTTCTTCTAATCAATGTGCATTCCAAGGTGTAATTGTATACATATGTACTACATATGTATACATACGTATGCATGCAATAAGTGTGTGGGCACAGTAAGCTTCGAGTAAATATTATTATACTGCGTTAGTGGCAGTTATCTGTAAAGTAAGTATTAAATAGTCAGTTAGAGTCGTAAAATCGATAAATTTTGAAAATATTATTATATTTGAAATTTGATGACTTTACAGTACAATTTGTGAATTTTTTTTTCGAGATAGCTTTCTCTGTACATATTTATATAAATATTGTGTCTTGATCTGAAAAGCAGATTTTGTTCTGATGATTTGCGACATTTTAATAAACTTCAGTAAACTGTGCAAACAATTCCATATGAAAATTCATTAACATCTCATTTATCGTGTGGAAATAAATTATAGGAAACCTAATTAGGGGTCGTACATAAATTATGTCACGCAAAAATCGCGATTTTGTAGAAACCCTTTAACATGTAGGCACGATATCATTGGAGCCTTGGATCCCCCCTACGACCTCTTGCATGATAATTTATGGACCTTCCTTTGGATGTAAATTTGTATTTATTTCGGACCTTCTAAATAAATTTTATCAATTTGGGACTTGGGGGAGCAGAATTTATTTTTTGTTTTCTTAACAATGCGTAAGTATGTAAGTACATTTATAATCAATCAGAAGCTCTAAACAAAGCAAGATTTAATGCCTGTTTTAACCAGAAACTGCAAAATTATCCAAGAAATCAACTCGTAACATTTAATAGACACACATTTATCTATATTATAAGCTGGAAATGTTTGTCTGCAACGGAAGTGAAAGTAATTTTCCGAAACGGAAGTGAAAGTGGAGACAGTCAAGTTCCGAATGGCGCGAAAATTTGGAATAAATTAAATTTAAAACATTAAATGTCTTAGAATAGTTATCTTAGTGGTTTTATCTTAGTGCTTCTCTAGGAGTAGTTACCTGATGGTGGTTATCTAGGAGTGATTGTCTCCCCTAGAAGCTTGATTTTTTTTTACTTTCACTTCCGCTGCCGACAGATATTTCCAGCTTATAATTCTCGCTCGACCGGCGGAGACGGGCTAGCTGTATAAAGTCAGCACTATTTTGTTCACTAAAAAAATTTGGGTTAAATCTTATCTTTAAGATTCCAATAATCCGTTACAGTCGATGAAGTGCGGCGAGCGAAATTGTATGAAATGCGTCCATTCCCAATAATTCCACGAGTTCTTGAGGCGACAAGTTTAAGTCGAGGAGTCGTTTGTCCAAAATGAAATTGACGATATTCCTCTCCAAATTCTGAAATGATGAAAATCTTAATTAATTTTAAAGAAATTAAATTTATCTCAATGAGTTAACCATTAATTAATTAGTTAATTACATACCGAAGCCTTAGCCAAGGATGCGTTACGAACGAGGAAGAAAGCACTTTCCTCGCTGATATTTCGAATCAGAATTTTCTCACAGTTCTGACGAATTTTGAGGTCACAATACGAGTCGGCTAACTGCATGAGGTCTAAAACATTGGAATAAATGATTACTTTTTAATAGCTAAATTTTAGTTAGGATAATTTTGGCGTTAAATTCCTGCCAATATTTTACATCTTCTCCTTACTAAAAATGTTCTCGTACTCGTTCCCAGCGAATTTGACCTTGTCGTTGTAAATGTAGAAGAGGAAAGCCTCAAATATTTCATACTTGGTATCCTTGATCTCAATCACGCTGAAAAGTATTTAAAAAATTTCAGAATTTGAAATTTGAAATTGAAATTCTCGAATAACTGCACTTTAACAAGAAAGCACGTAAGTACTCACGGTGCTTCCCCTTCCGTCTCCTTCCACTCATTGCTAAACATTTTTGCGAAATAGGCACTTCGACAGACCAGAATTAATTTGTGTGCCGAGATGGTTTTCCCTTCCAGAGAAAATGTCACGTCCGAATTTTCCTACGTAAATAGAATCCAAGTTTTTAAAAAAATCACAGGAGTAGTTTTTGCAAATTTATGTTAACCTTGCTCCCCCACAAGGTGCCAATATCGTCACCCACTGTCCGTGATTTAAGCTGAGTTTGTGCACAAACAGTGCGATAAGTTGCTTGACAATTTTCCGCAATAAACTACTCGATTGAGGTACAGCTTGGCAAAAACGAGGTAAGAGGAGGGGAATCTTCATTCCAACAAAATGCAAAGCAAAGGGTGTTATTTTTTAACTCGAAAATAACAGCGTCTTCCGTCCAAGAGGTTGCAATATCTTGAAATTCTTGACACGTGTAGACAGCCGTCCATTCAACCACAGAATCTTGCAATCCTAAAGAGTACAGCGATCCGTTAACGGCCAGGGCAAGAATGAAGTCGTTAGTGGCAGTTATCTGTAAAGTAAGTATTAAATAGTCAATTAGAGTCGTAAAATCGATAAATTTTGAAAAATTACTTTACGCACACGACCTTAAGTAAACCAATTGTTTATAGAATTTTAGCAAGCTTCGCTTATATCGCTTATATAAATTGCTATCGACTACAAATATAAATGAAGCCTACATACGGGTGATACTATATTTCAGACTATGTTTTAACATAATGGGTTATATGGGTTCGATTTCTGTTTTTTTAGAAAATCCTGGAAAATTCCGACTGCCCATGGTAAAAAAGATCCTCCAGCCCGCAAAACACGTTTCAAACTTTGCACCACATATAAACCCTTCCAGTATACCTTTTTAAATGGTGCGGTATCCACGACCACTTTTTGCGGCATTTTGTTGTCCAGTGCCCATTGAAACAACTGCAGTCAAAATTAAATGTATAAATTAAATTAGCATGATTAAAATTGTTTAATTTAGCCTTAAACATTTTAAAGAATAAAGGGCCCTTCATAAATTACGTAACGCGAGAGGGGGAACTAAGGCTCGCATAATATGCCACAACAAAATCAAGATTTTTGCGTTACAGAATTTATGAACGCCTCAAACTTATCACCTCTCCATTCGATGTAAGAGCGGCGGACATGTCGTCACTGCAGGTAATCGAGATGACTTGCTGGTATTGAAAATGTTGCTTTGGAACCAAACATGGCTCCCAAGAAGAGGCCGCCTCACCCCACTCGTAAACGTCCCCACCCATGGTTAACACGACAATCCGCTCACATGATAACGCGACTTGGCGTACTTTCTTCCCCGTTAAAGAACCCAGGACACGGTGCGGGGTCAAGATGAGGTCAGATTTATCCCAGTTTATTCCATCAGCATCTTCTTTGAGGCGGCCTAAGAGGGCGAAATCGGTGGAATCATGGTCAAAATCCAACACGTCGGGATCATGAAGAATCCAAGAATACAAGGATCCATCTTCCGTTACGGCCAGCTCAATCAGTACCACGACAAAGTCTAGAAATATGAAACAGGTGGATTAATTAGGGAAACATTCAAACATTTCCTAAATTAAATATCTGTAAGGATGACTCAATATCGGCACATTTTTATTAATCATATCAGGAGTCAGGGAATTAATTTTAAAATTCTGGACGACAAATTTGTAATCAGTGAGGTGATTAATCGCATAGCGGCGAGTTTTAAGTTAAGTCAGTTTCGAAGAGTTTCAATTTAAAAATTCATAAAATTATGAAGACGTCAAGACCTTGAAGAAGTCAAAATTGACGAAATTAGGAGTGTAATTAATTTTTTAACGTGCCAGCGACCGACCTGCGCTACAAATTTGGTGTCGCTCTCGGGATTTATTTTAAAATTATGGATAAAATTAAGCAAATGTTCTCCAAAATAATTACAGATTAGTTTAGTTAACAAACCTTTAATACGGACGCCGAACAGTTGGGGAATTTTAGCAATTTTGCAGACGCCACTGTCGACAAAAGGGGTGCGGATGAAGGAATAAGTTTCGTCTGCGATGGTGACGACGAAGGCTTGCCACCTGTCGACGACATGCACCAATTTGGCCGTCTTTAAAATCTCCTCTCCTTCGGGTCCAATGTGAAGAAAGATTTCAAAGATAGTTAGCTTGTCGCGAGAAATGACGTCAAGTGATGAGGCAGACGACTCCATTGTAGTCACTTATCAAGGAAGGAAGATAAGAACAAAGAATGAGAAAAAACAAACAAGTTTTTAGTTTATTAGTCAGCAGCACCAAGATTCAGATATGGAACTCGATATGGGCGCTCAATCTGGCGAAAATTGAGACAAAAAATACTAAAGTATAAATTCCATGCGAAATATATATCTCTAAATAGATTTTATTGGCATCTCAGCATTTATGTAAATATTATGTAACATTGTCTTGTCAATACATAGTCATTTTTAGAAAATATGTATACTAATTAACAAGTCCTATCTAATCTTGTCATACAAACTAAGCCTCGATTTCACCCTTTCCTTCCTTGGTTTCCCTTTCCTGAAGACTTTCCACAACTTGAGCCTCCCATCCCCCGCTCCGGTCACGATGTCCTCCCCACTGGGGGACATGGACATGTACAAAACCCGGTCGTAATGTCCCCTCAACTCGTCGACCTGCTGGCACGATGGGTAGTTCCAGATTGAAATATTGTTCCCCGAAAAACCATGCGTCGTCACAAACTCCTGGGAATGTTTGGACCAGGCCAAATTGCAGATTTGAGAGCCCATCGGGACACACCGGATTTCCTGACCCATCGCCGTATTCCAAAATCGCACCTTCTGATCCGCCGTTCCTCCCCCGCTCGCGAGCAGGCCGTGGTGATGCGGGGACCATGCAATCGCTTTGACGGCGGCGGTGTGCTCCCTGTAAAAATAGTGTTGAGTTGTTAATGAAATTCAGGGGAACCTCCATAAATTATGTGAGGAAAAAATGCTGATTTTTCAGGTCCTCGTGTCACGATTTAATATTTAACATGTGGCGCAAATCTGGGCTGTCACGCAAAATTTTTACCTCAATCGTGACGTAATTTATGGACATCCCCTCAAATTTACGACAAATAGTCACCAACTTGTGCAGAATTGAATTTTAAAAGAATTTTTGGACTCGCTCGCAGATAAGTTTGGGATGAAATGAAACCATACAAGTTTCCACAATACAAAAATCTTAACGTTTTCGTTTTTTTGATCAAAATTGTTAATGAGATAAAATTTAGCCGTAAACAAGCTGGCTCAAAAATTAATAATTATCAATTTTTGTATTTCGTTGGAATGTATATCTAAATCTATCGGAGAGTCCAAAAAAATCATAAAAAATTCAATTTTGCTCACATTGGTGACCAAACTCATGCGCATTATTACGTGTAAGTATGGACGGGTTTGGAGAAATGTCGATTCCACACGTTGACACGACCGTCGCCCCCGCCAGACGCTAAAAACTCGTTATCCGGAGACCACGCGAGCCCGCAGACTTCTTCGAGGTGACCGTACCGCCGTTTGTCCAGCATGTGGCGATGTTCCCGGAGGTCGGACTCACTTATCGAGCAGTCCTTCGACCCGGTTGAGATAACGTTGCCTCCTTCAGACCACGCCATCACTCCGACGCGGGCGGAATGACCCCAAATCGAGGTCAGTAACGTTTTTGTAGTGACATCCCAGATTTGGACGAGGCCGGTGTGCGTCCCAACGGCGAGTTGGGTTCCCTAAAATAAAGACAGATTTAAGTCGATAATTTGTCCCCGTGTAAAATCTGAAGAGGTGAAAATTAGCAATTTTCCAGGGATATGAGGTCCAAAATAATTCACCATTTTTCTGCATAAATTAATAATTTGCAATACTTTGCAAGGATAAGTTATACAGAAAATTTCAGCTGAAATATGCTCCAGGAAAATGGACAGGTCGATTTTTATATTAAGGGTATTCACAATTGTCTTGGCATCGTGACGTAGTTTACGAAGAACAAACGAGGGGTCAAGCTTCGTAAAATTCGTAACCTTTGTAACGCGATTTTTCCTGAGAAAATCTTATCACGTTTACAAAATCAACCTCGTAACGTAATCGTAACTTATATGAAAAATAAGAAGGAATCGTGAACACCCTCTTTAATTAACTATTAAATAATTATAATAACCTTTTCATTCCAAGCCACCGACGTTACGGTATCTCCTCCACCAATTTCACACAGCTTGACTACATTGCCATTCACCGCGGAAAGGGACCAGAGGTAGACGTAGGATTCTAAACTGACAGCGAGGACGTCTTGGGCTGACCAGTCGACCAAGTGCAGGTAAAAGTCGTCACTTAATGTGGGGGCGAAGATCAGCTAAATAAATAAACCACAAATTAAGAGATATGTATACAAAAATACGAGTTTCTACATTTTTACTAAATATGTAAATAGATTAATTAATTAATTGTGGATCGGTGCATACTTTAAAAGGGTATTTTGAAATTTTCCTGGCAGCCGGTGGACAAAAACGTTGTTGTAAAAGCTGCGCCGAATTTGGACTAATTGGCGAAAGAGAGTACGGTGACGATGGCGAGTTGAGGAAATTTGTTCTTTCGGAGCTATCAAACTGAAAAAAATTTTAAGCCTTTTTAGATAATAGCGTTGTTAAAAAATTGATTTTAAGTAAATATGTATGCACCCTTACATTAAATAGTCTTCTACTCGGGGTCACTCTACTTTGAGGGGTCAACACACCACAGTCGTCAATCTGATCGCCAAGAACTTCATTTTTCAGTAGACTCGCATAAATTCGGGGTCTATCGTTCTCCGTGGCGTTATTTTCCGAGAGATTTTCATTCCGCGGGCCAAGCGATCGATTGTTGGCATCCTGTAAATATTTTAGTCATTAATTGTTAATTGAAAAAATTCCGCTGGTTTGGGTATCTAACTTTTTAGCAGGTTCGAAATACAAAATATGAAATACTTACTCCTGGCTTGGACAATTTGAGGCTGCTTGAAGAAGAAGGGGGCGAAATCATGGGGAAAGATTCCCACGTTTTTCCAGCCCTGATGGGGATGAATCTGTCCCCATGGCGAGGTTTTGGAGGGGTGTGGTGATTTTGTACATGCATTTTTCGTCAACTAAAAGTAAGTTAAGTATCAACAATTAAATATTAATATTTAACCGCCTTGAACAATTGTATATTCAAAATTTCTAAATACAGTACAATATAAAAACTCAAACTCACCGTTTACACACTAATTTGAATAATAAATTGTGACCTTGTTTAATTCGAAATTTGGAAACATTTTTAAATTATTGAATTCCTGTGTTTTGTTTTGAGTGACGAAATGAGATTATGAATTTAGCGGTTATGCTGGGGTTTTGTGAGATTAAGTGCATGAAAATTGTGAAAGTTTCTTTAAGTTTTAAATGTGGATCATTTACCTCTGTTAATTTAATTATAGCAAATATGTAAAACCTTGGAAAACGATTTTTAAACATTTTCATCCAAACTGACGATCCTCAATTAAATTAAGCCCACCCACAAACGCAATTAATTTAAATTCATCGATTTCACTTCAGAAATCCTATTTTATTATTCCCTTGGAATAAAGTACATCAAATAGCACATTTTAACATTAATCATTTGTCCCCATCGCCACCGGATGGAACTCCAAAGTAGATTGTGGTTATCTCGACACTTTGACCATTTTTCTCGTGGTCCGATTTCCTCCCGGTAATGCATCCCCTGTTGTACCCCCCGCTGATGAAGCCAACCTTATCACACATTCCGGTAAATGCGCCTTGTTGAAAAACCCAAATTCCGAACTGAATTGACCATTTAGAAAATCTGCAGCAAAAAAAATACCTCGGTCAAGAGAGAAACGCATAATTTAATTATAAAAAATCCCTATATTTTTCGGCATACGACTCATATCCGACTTGTCCTTGAATCATGTCGAATTTGTATCCATCATCGATATTGTAAATGATGAAATTGTAGTGTAGTTTCTCCTGGGTAAAGGCGTAGTTTAGTCGCTCTGCTAAATCGTTGAAAATCATGGCGCGAGCCGACAGAAAATACGGCACGCGTCGAAATTCCAAGCTTGTCTTCATTTTCTGGATCTGGGTGAGAAGGATTCCTTTTACGATGTTGTCCACCGAGCTGAAAATAAATAGAGTCGGCTATAAAATTCTTACTGTACAAATACTTGATAGAAATAATATATAAATCAAAATATGTACGGGTCCATGTTGGTCGATTTCGACGATTTCAATTTGATGATAGCGATTCAGTAATGGGTCTCTGACAAAACTTTTTTTGCCGTGTATTTTGAAAAGTATTGCCAAATCTAAAATGGAGGAATTTGAGTACGCCGGCTGTTCAGTTATTGTTTTGACGACGACGTCAGAGGAACTACGCTTAATTAATAAACCGTAGTAAACGAACATAAGGAAGTAGCTTCAGACTACTTCACCCCAACCACTCCCACGACATAGCGGGAATACTTAATTTATTTAGCTGTATTTCATCTATAGATTCAATTTTTGAAAAAAAATCTCATTTTGCCCCGACCACACCCCCTGGCGCCAAGGGGTGTGGTCCGGTTGACCCCAAAAGTTGATAGGATCCTCCCCCTGGGGTCATATGCATAATGTCGAAAACCGATTTCGATTATCTCGATCCGTTCTCCTGCTGACAGACAGACAGACAGACAGACAGACAGACAGACGGACAGACAGACGGACAGACAGACAGACAGACAAAGTCTTCGCATAAAGTAGCTGAAGAATAGCCAGGGAAGGGGATGGGAATGTTCATGAATCATGTTAGCGATTTAAATTGCTGGAAAAATTGAAATACTGCTATTATAACTATAACACACACGGTCTTGAAGATCATATCATTCAAATTTATCCTTTAACTCGGCTACGTACTTCACGAACGGTCCCATTATTTCCGAGGGAGTCTCAAATTCAGCACTCGCTCGAACAGCTCAATTTTTCAAATTGCAATATTTTTCTTGATGGTTTCCATTCCACATGATTCTCATAGTGGGATGGTCAGTTTTAGGCCTGCAGACCCAAAGGCAAAATTTTGGTTGCCGGGAATGAAACCACCACCACCACGTCTCACTTTGTTTCACACTTTGTCTCACATCCAGCTCACGTTGTTTCGCATTTCATGAAACCAATGCTGGCTGCTGCATGGTTTCGTTTGCATTGATACTTTCATGGTTTTATTACTGCGTCAATGCCTGTACATAAAATAATTATATTGTATGATTGTGCATAGATAGACGCAATGAAAAAGTGTATCTTTCTAATGCTGTTTTGCATTGTACTTTCGCCAAACACAAACTCATTATTTACATTTCATAATCAATTATTTTTATTAAGCCGGCTTTGTATTGCAATAAGTGCTTCAATAAATATAATTAAAAAATGTAGTATGGTCCATATTTTACGCTCGAAAAGTATAATTCATAAGGTACAAGTAACATGCATCTAAAATGCACTTGTGCATACTAATAATAAATAATATAACAAATGTCTATGCCTGAAAGTACTCTTATTATTGCAAAAATTGTTATGAAAAATCCACTAAACGAACTGTACATAGCGTATAACAAAAGTAATATATAATTTATTCAAAATCGTAGACACATCACTCTAGCCAAATAATGAGGCAGTAATATGTAACATTTAACGTTACCTTCAATTTTTAGACTAAAATAAAGCTTACTACTTCTTCGTTCTTGCATAGTTAAATTGATACTTTTTGAATCTATGAACTGAAATGTTTAAAGAGTGATAAAATATATCAAATATAGGATGAAATATAAATAATATATCTAATCATCTTGGTCTTCTTCATAGTCCACCTCTTCATTAATGAGTTCATTTATTGCATCCTGGCGTTTTGCTAAACTGTTCAACTTGGCCTTAAAGTTTTCCACGTCCTCTAAGTACGGCATATTGTATTCAAAAGCCTCAAAACCTATACGACAATTATAATTATAGTCATACTAATATTTTGCATAATAAATTTAAGTTGTGTGCATAACAATTACTACTAGATAATTTTCTACACAATTTGTTTATACTGACCGTTATGAAAACGGTTTCCTTTGTTTTCTAACAGTTGGTTCTCCCTCAGTATTTCCACTGCTTCTTCAAAGTCAATTTTTGTCTTATCATTAATTCCTTTTCCTACCCCAATTACATCATCTTCATCGTCAATGTCGCTGATTGCAGAATAAAATGCCTCTGCTAATTCTGCAATAAACTTTAGAGACTTGCTGCACCGTTCCATGGACTTCTCCGTCATGGAACCACCAGAAATGGATAAAATGGCTGCAAAGGAATGTGAAATATTACACTAATTGTTAAAAAAAGTGGATAGCACACCTTTGAGAATCTTATTTAGCAGTTCATTTGCTAAATCTGCTTCGAGGTTTTTTCCTTCTCCTCCATGCCAGTTGACCCCACAATTGTGCTTGAGGTCATGTCCGATATGCCGCGGCCCAAAGCCCCCAATTCTGCCCAACACAAAAAAATAAATCGCAAAGTACATCCAATGAGGTGTAGTGTCCCATTGTTGCCGATGGAGTTTTGCGTAAATAACCCTCCTATCTCCATCGTTGGACCTGGTGGCACTCCGGAAGGAAATGAGGTTTAAACCACCAAAAATTATAGCTTTTGTATAACTGAACTTTCTGTCGATGCAGTCTTTTTGGGATTGTCGTGGGATTGTCGTGATCAGCATTACCGATCGTATGATTTCTCTCAGCGGTGACAATTCGGTTCTCATGCACCCTTGTTCATGAAAGAATGATGAAAATGTGTGGGGGGAGGGAGCGACTGGTTTGCGGAATAATTGGGGTTGCATAATCCATTAGCTTGGAAACTTCAGTACAAAATTATAAATCAGTAAACGTAAACGCGTTTTTGTAAATTTTGGTTTGATAATTAATTCTTCTAGTTATTTTTTGATTCTCAATTCCTGATAAGCATAATATGTTGAATACTATATTATAATTACATTTAGATATGTTTGGTAAAAAATAGTCTGCATTTATTATTTATTTGCTGCATCATTTTTGTCAGCACAGCAACACCAATTTTTCTTAGTACAACAAATATAAATGCCTTGCAATGTGCAAATTGATAACAAAAATACTATTACTAATAATAAAATGAAGACTAGCTGGGAGCAGGATTCGGTGTCCTCCTTGTCTGCAGAGTGTCGATCAACAACAATTTTACTGCAATAATAATAAAAATAACAGTCAGTCCAATATTAAAATACTACCAAGAGATATTCATGTATGATTCTACCAAAGTAGTACTGATAAGTAATACAGTGTATTAATAGCTCGGTATTAAAGTTTTACCATATCGGTAGGTAGCAAATTTTTACGGACCGGTATAATTTTAATACCAAGCGGTAGCAAATTTAACAACGAGAAATCAATATCTGCCTGACTATGCCAAATTTATAACAGTGGACACTAATAATGGAAAATAAGTGTATTTACGTGCTGTTGCGCAGTATCTCCTTTAAGACTTCTCGTGGAAGGGGGGTGAACGTCATGGTCATGGTTTATTTATTCGGAGTAAATATTTAAAACACAATTTTTGATGTAAAACTGCAGTTAAATGAGTGCACGTGCGTTTCATACGTAAATAATGCACTATTTGAGTATGCGTGATGGAATGGTGGTGGAGCGGAGCGCAGGGGTACAACTAGGATCTAGGACAGAATTTGACAATTTTTGCCTTTGGATCTCAACGCAGAAATCCTACCAACGTACTCTGTGAAACTGAGCAGTTGGCGCCCAACAAATATTTTTCAAAATTTCCAACACAACAAGATTAAAAGTTAAAAACCTGTTTTAGCCAAACATGTCACAAACGAGGATCCCATCGAAATCGACCACCACCACGGGGGATCGGTATTATTTTAATTAAATGATACCTATTTTACAATTATTTTATAACCCTCTCTACTTATTTTCAATTTCCAGGGAGGTGGAAAATCTCATAAAACAAATCATTGCCACCCACCTCCAACAAATGAAGATAAGTCTGGAAATTGAAGACCTGTTGGATGATGGGCCAATAAGCCGGGCTACGATTATCCACGATTTTGCGGAACGATTAAATTACACATTTACCAAGCAGAAACTACTTTACAATTTCATCATTTACAATCAAGGGTGTTCGCTGCTATGCACAATGGGGCCGCCTTATGGTAGGAAATATCAGAAATTATTTTATGACTTTTTTGAGCTATTTATGCATACGAGGTAATTTGGGGACGGATGGCACAAATTATATAACTGCAGTGCGACCACACCCCCTTTGGGAGGAGTTATCTCCATTTGAATGGGTGTGGCTTTGAAAACTATCGCATTCGATAGATCTTTGAAAGCTAACCCAAATTCATATAAGTTACACCAACGTACGACGCTCCAGAGCCAAGTTATCGGCCTCCAAACATTGAAATTTTGCATTCTGCGCCGACTTTGCGACCTCGTGGCGCAGTGCGCGACCGCATTCATGGGTTCGTAGCTATCTCAAACGACGCTACCAATGTTGGGCTGTCACCCCAAGAAAGAGAATTGATGATTACACGCCCCGTTTCGCAGCAGGAATTTTTTCAAAATCGTCAAAAATATAGCCAAAATAGCCTAAATTTCCACACTAAAAAATAATTAACATTATTTAATCATTTTCAAAAATGCGAAAATGACGTTGTTTATTTTTTTCTTCAGCCCATCCCATCATTAAAAAGGGTTTATTTTAATTTCTTAACACATTTTAATTACTACGATAAAAATTTCGCATTTTTGAAAATGATTAAATAATGTTAATTATTTTTTAGTGTGGAAATTTAGGCTATTTTGGCTATATTTTTGACGATTTTGAAAAAATTCCTGCTGCGAAACGGGGCGTGTAATCATCAATTCTCTTTCTTGGGGTGACAGCCCAACATTGGTAGCGTCGTTTGAGATAGCTACGAACCCATGAATGCGGTCGCGCACTGCGCCACGAGGTCGCAAAGTCGGCGCAGAATGCAAAATTTCGATGTTTGGAGGCCGATAACTTGGCTCTGGAGCGTCGTACGTTGGTGTAACTTATATGAATTTGGGTTAGCTTTCAAAGATCTATCGAATGCGATAGTTTTCAAAGCCACACCCATTCAAATGGAGATAACTCCTCCCCAAGGGGGTGTGGTCGCACTGCAGTTATATAATTTGTGCCATCCGTCCCCAAACTACCTCGTATGCATAAATAGCTCAAAAAAGTCATAAAATAATTTCTGATATTTCCTACCATAAGGCGGCCCCATTGTGCTATGTCTCTCCGCTGCGAAACGCAGCCAGGTTGCCGTACCGGAACTATGAACTATGACCCTTGCCGGGCCAAAATTCATAATTTTGGCTGTAGGCACCTGTCCCTGGCTTAATTGACAATTCTTAATAAAATAATACAATTTTGTAGTGTTTAAAAAGTATAAACTTCGAATTTATGAACAATTTTTTTAATTCGAAAAAAAATATTTTTTTAAAAATAGCAGTTAGTGTTTAAAAATATGTTTGAAACACTACAAAATTGTATTATTTTATTAAGAATTGTCAATTAAGCCAGAGACAGGTGCCTACAGCCAAAATTATGAATTTTGCCCGGCGAGGGTTCAAGTTCATAGTTCCGGTACGGCAACTTTGGCTGCGTTTCGCAACGGAGAGACATACCAGCGTACACCCTTGTTTACAATATCGGGTTGGCATACAAATTCGACGCAATTCAGGGACAAGTCGGATACGAGTCGTAAGTTGAAATTATTGAAAATTTATGTAATTAAATGATGATTTAAATTTAGAAGAAAAGAGTGATCGAGTCTAGTTTCCAAATACTTTGGTCACGACGGTAAAATATGTAAATTTACATATTTTTTGGCCAGATTTTGATGCAACTTCTGATCAATCATTTTTGACAAATTATGAGTTTTTTCTTCCCATTAATTTTTAACTATTTTAGCCTAAATATTATATTATATTGTAATTTTACGCAGGTTTTCCGTGGGGGAATCGCAGTGCGGAATTTGGGTTTTTCAACAAGGCGTATTTACCGGAAGGTATGAGAAGAACACCTTTGTCCGTGGAGGGTACAACAGAGGGTGCATTACCGGGAGAAATGGCGAGAGGATTTATTTCGGAGTTCCAAACGATGAGGGTGCGAAATGATTAATGTTGAAAGGTGCTATTTGATGTACCTAGAGAATAAAACAGATTTCCATGGAAATGAATGAATTTGCAAAAAATAATTGAATTTGTGGATTTTCAGTTATTCCAAAATACAATATTTAATATTAGCTTTGTAGCTGCATTTACATACATACATATGATAACATATTTGCATATCGCTACATAGATACATAATTTTTATAACAAGGTAAGTATTAAATCTTAAAAATTACCTTCCATCATTGATAAACACAATGAGGGAATTCACGCAGTCCTTGGGAACATTGTAAAATTCGTAAATTCCATATGCTTGCACACTTGTACAAAATCTTGCAAATATTTATGGAAAATTAGCTCTAAAATTTTTGTAAACTTGCTCAGATCACGATCGTATCTTTATTTTTTCAAAGTTTGTAAAACTAACTTAAAAATCGCACAGATTTTACAGGCTACTAATGACTGTGTGAATTATCACATATGCGATCTCTCTTTTGCATGCAATAAGTAAATAAACCAGGAAACTTTATATTTTTTTCAAAATTTTATATTTCAAAATTTCATACGTCAATCGAATCAAAGAATAAATGCTCCACAAACTTATAAACGCAAACCCCCACCATTCCCACGTTTGGGATAAGGCTCAAAAACACGCCGAACGCCCGTTTACTTGGATACCCAATCACGAAGAAAAATCGGCCAATGATAAAGCAAAAGTTGACCCAGGGGATGACTCGCAACGTGTATTTTTCCCCGATGAAGGAAACCATGCAAAGTTGAGCGAACGCGGAAATGATAAATTGTTCGAAACTGTTTTGCAGGATGTTGGCCTGTTTTTGAACTTTGTCCTCTTGTCCCGCCAACGGGTTCACGGTCCCGGTCGTCACCCGTTGAAAGATGACGAGGAAAATGGTACAAAGAACGGAAAGGACGCCGAGAGTTAAGTAGCGGAAGGTGAACTCGGCACGTGCGCTGAACGTGGCCAAGGGAAGTTTTACGGAGCGACCTGGTAAATAGATAAAAATAAATTTCGAAAATTATATTTAGACAAAATACTGCAATCTTCAGAATTTTTATCAGATCAGAATTTGGTCCTTATTCTTCAAATTTGATAAATTAAGGAAATTCATTAATAATTAGTAAAATTCATGCGTTTTGTAGCATAATTTTACAAACTTTTACAAAAAATAAAGCGACGCTCTTGATCTGACAATGGAGGTCTCCCAACGTATGCTCAAAGATTTGGACCAAACCAGCGTCAATCGATCAGAAATATAATTAGTATGAAATTTGCAAATGGCACTATCTGCCAATGCGCAGGTTTTGCGGAGATATTTGCATAAAAAGCGGGAAAAATTCGTAGCAATGAAAAATTTGCCAGCCTTGGGGGTACGTTTCTCCTCTTTTTATGGAAATATCTCCGCTACATCTGCGCATTGGCAGATAGTTCCATTTGCAAATTACATCTAATTATATTTCTGATCGATTGACGCTAGTTTGGTCCAAATCTGTGAGCATACGTTGGGAGACCTCCATTGTGAGTAAGCCATGTTCATAAAATCACAACAATTTCCTTCCACAAAGTTTACAAAGTCCACAAAAAATATATGTTATGTACGCATGGTAACAAATCTAGGCTTTTATGTAGACCCAAATGTTTTTAGCGTCCCATGAAATATTACATACCCCAGATAACAGGTCGCTATGAATTCGCTTAGAGAATTCGCAGAGAATGTCGCGTTAAAACAGAGAACTCGAATTCTCTCAGATTTCGTTATTATTCTCGTATCGAATTCGCATCGAATTCGTATCTAAATTCGATATTACGCTCATTTCAGAATTCGTAATGAATTAGACTCGAATTCTCAGAGAATTATTCTATCGAATTCGAAACGACTTCACTATGAATTCTTAAACGAATTCGCTGTTATTGTAGTGAGGAATTCTCCCCGATTTCGATAGGAATTCTTCTTACAGGAATAGGAGACCATAAACTGTTCGCCTTGAATCTCGAATTCGTAAATAATTCTTAGAGAATTCACTGTGATTTCTCTCTTTCACGCTGTTATTGTATTTTTAAGTAATTTTAGCTGCCACATTCAAATCTTTCCTCATGGGAAGGAGACGACTTTTTCAGTTGAGTGCTCGCTACAAAAGAAGACTTGTAAAAACACCAAGTGAAATTTTCGAGGAAAATTTCGATAGTGACCTAGTCCAGGCCGAAAGGGAAAACATTTATTCCGAACAAGTGTTCGAGGAAGATCTGGAAGAAATTGAAGTCGGAAGTAAGTTCAGCTGAAACTATTAACTCAGAAAGTGAAGGTGAAATTGATACTTTTGATATTAGACATAGTATCCAAAATTGGTCCCTTGAATTTAAAATTCCTCATAATGCAATCTCATTATGCAACACTCTAAAACATTTTAAAAATATGTTAATCTCAGATGAGGTAGCAGCTCACCCAAGGACTCCAAATTATCCAGACGAGGGCACAGTTGACGAAGAAATACAAAAATCTCTGAAGAAAGTCGCAGATAGAGTTGGGAAGCGTATGAGGTACAAATATATACTATCGATAATAACTGTTGCAAAAGATTTTAGGAATAACATTAGTATATTTTCAATAGGAAGGTACTTAACATCGCGGCCAATTTCACTACCAGGGTCATCTGATTATTCAACTTATGTTTATTTTAATAGAAACAGTCATGTATATTACATAATATTTAGAATAAATCAAATAAACTATAAGCTGGATTAACTCGAAATATAGCAGAAATCGTATCGATTTATTACTTAATTCGCAGTGACTTACCGGCGAAATCGATATACGATTCTCCATCGATTCCCTGTCGAATCGGCGGACATTTCCCTTCGATATCTCCTCGAATTTATCTCGAAAGTTGGAAATTCTAGGCGAATTCGATATCGATATCAAAGCGAATGTAATATCGAAACATAAGAGAATTCAGAGCGAATTGTTATCTGAAAAGTACTTTTCAAAAGTGCGCAAAAGATTGTTTTTCCATAATTCATCGGTAAACCTATTTGCATAATACCCAGCTTACAAACAATTTCATACCCGACAAGTCGATCACATCGCCCAGACAGAGTCCCCCAGAGATTGCGATGAACACAATCGCCGCAATGTAAGTCCAAGTCCCCTTGATCGTCTCAACCACACCCATTTTATCTTCGCAAAATTACTTTTCACCAATTTAGGAAATGCAAGTACAAAAATTATCTCAAAAATGTAGCTTCAAACTTAAAATGCTGGATTGTTTGGCGATGACTGAATCAAGAATGTAATGATTTGCAGATTTATCACTCTCGATAAATTTATCCCTACCTTGTTCACCAGTTGTGGTTTGGCTTTGCCTGATTGCTTAATGTAAGCATGTATTTAATTACATAAGTATGCAAATGACTGGACAATTTATTGCCGCACGTGTGTCATCCTTCCATGTTATTGATAAGATAAGAGAAACCAGTATTTGTATAAGCAGTAGCGGAACTATAGATTCGGGGCCGGTATGCGAGCTGGATATAGGGGCCTAAATCTAAATTAACTATTACAAGTGGGAGACAATTTTTTGGTTAATTCTAGCCACGAAATTTAATGTTACACTGTAATTCTTCTAATAAATATAGATACTCGGACCATAAGTTCTCGCAAATGCATTTCTGGTCATAATTCACAAAGCATTACAGGGTCATAGATCCTATTTGCACAATGAGAAAAACTGACCGAAAAACAAACTCATGAACGGATAAGGTTTTTTGTACTTCCGAAATTTTGTTCTCAAAAGATAGTGGTTTGGGGTGAATAAGACGTTTGGTTAACAAAAAAACGGTCAACAAACACCAAAGAAATCTACATCTGAAGTCGACCATCTCCTTACGCATTTTTCGGAAAGAAAATTGTCACGAAGGAAAATTGTGGAGAAGTTGAAATTATCTTAATAGAGTTTTGCCGTTCTTCAACATATCTTGAACTTAATTTCGCTTTAATTAGATCAATATCTAAATTAGCGGGACTGGCATCCCCAATAAACTTCCAGCCTCCCAAAAAGTTTTCGCATACCGTTTTGGAAAAATCGACGCCCTTACAAGGCGAAAAAATCTTGCTCAAACTCAAATTGGAAAAGAAAGGGCAATTGTCCGCCATTTGCAGGGGCAGAATTTAGTACAAAGGGCCTATGTTGGTTATCGGAGAATTCGTTGGTTTAAAGATTGGCCCTTGGACTTTTTGCGAATAATTTTTGGCTACAAATTTTACACTTTGCGGCAAAAACAGAGATTTGCCTTCTCCTGCCAACTCGATCCAATTCACCCTATGGTGATAACCTATGCCAGCGTTGGTGAGGTGGTTGCTTTGGTTCTATAGACGGACCAATAGTTCGGTTTGAGACACGGAGGAGAGTGGTCGAGTCTCTCTCTCTCTGCATTTCAATCGGCTCCACGTAACGACTACACACTTTACTCAGCTCTTTCCTTGCGCTTTGCGCATGAAAGTGTAAACTGTTAAATTGTGCACTGGAAATACTGCAATAAACTACCCCGGCTACTGAAAGTATATCTTTCTGACACTTGTCAACACTACGGGACAATCATCTCATAATTTTGTGGGGGGCAGAATGCTGTGTGTGCGTCTTGTTAAAACCGAACTGCATTATCATCCACGAGGAGGACCGGGTACGTCATTGTTACTTCGTCGCCACATCTTGCTACGTTTTTCGCCAAATGATGGGGGCCGGGAAAGAGGACGCTCTTCCAGCCATCATCATTCGTGTCCACCCAAGGGACGCCTGGGGGTCATTCGTCGTTGGGAATCAGTGACCACGTCGGGACGCCGTAGCGGCCGCTGTGACCCACTTCAACAGGTTGTGGCGAATCCTGTCTTCGATGGAGAAGGCGTACTACGACATACTTTTCATCACTCTCCATGGCGTGGACTTTGTTCTTCTTCCCTTCCTGGCAGGCAAGGATTGCAGGAGACGTCAGGATAGGGGGTCCGCCCCGTTCTCTAACCATCACCTGTTAAATACCTGCAGATCCTGACTGCTCATTTACCACCACCATGAGTGAACCGTGGGGATGCCCTTGCTCCACGAGACTGTGCATGATGGGGTAGTCGTATAGCAGTGAGGACATATGCAGGCTAGCCATACTAGCACGTGTATTTGGGGAGCCGGCAATTAGACTTTAATGCTACTTTAATGCTAAGTACATACATGGTGGTAACCTCATTAACTTCCGCATACTTAAATGGATGTCAGGCACCTAAATATAGAGAAATAATCTGTCGATTTTTTTCATTTAATTTCTCTCCAACGGTGAAAAGTCTGAACACGTTTCTCATGAAAAAACGCTCGTGCCGCAATTGAGCACTTAAGTCTTGCTTTCAAGACCGTGCACGAAATCTTGAAAACGAAGTTATTATTTCGAAATAATATTAGTGCCTCATTCAGCCCTAAAAGTTTCAAAGAAATAGATCTAATAATGTGTTAATTATCAACAGAAATTCATTTGCGGGAAATATAGTCCGAGTATATATCCTACAGCCTGTCTAAAAATGGTTTTTTTGTAAACTAAAAACAACCTGCACTAGTGCAAGAGATGCTAACATATTTAGATTTGCCAGTACATAAATTACTTCGACTAATTATTCCTGTCTTTAAACATTTTAATCGTCAATGAAAAAAATCCAATAATATATACACACAAGCGTCCGACGGCCGGGGGCCGTCTCATCTTGGGGGCCGATATGTGGGACCTCCCCCACCTACCCCTATTTACGCCAGTGTGTATAAGGATATGTTACAAATTGTTTGGTATTTGCACACGAGCCAAAAAAATGTATGTATCTTTGTAATTGACTTGTTAATTAAAATTACATACGTCATTATATTTATAATTAGATAAGTAGGATACATAATATATCTGTAAATATGTATAATTTTTGCACTTTGAAGGAAGGTGGTATATACAGTGTATCAAACAATTGAGTCCACGGCACAACGGCTCTTCATTTCCCTGCTAACAAATTATTCCAGGGCAATTAATAATATCCAAAAAGTTTACTATAGAATAGTAAATTTAATGCTGAATCCAATTCTGAAAAGCGTTTTTCGATATATCAGTCCGTTTGTCCAGAAATAGATTGACAGCACTAAAATTTGTAAATATGAAGTCAAAAAATGAGTACACGGTACGATAATGATGTGTTTTTATATTTAACAAATTTAATCTAATAGCGTACTTTTACCAATAATAACAACCTGAATTCGTTTGGGAATGGATTCCAACAATTTTTTTTAAATCTGGGTCTACATCCTCCAATGCAACCGCAATAATGGTCTTCAAGTTATCCTTGCCAGATGGAGACCTGTTGGAAATTTTGTTTTGCTGTTCTGACCATAAATGTTCATTGGAACTTAAGTCCGGTGATTTGAGTGCCCAGGGAAGTGTTTTAACCTTCTTGTCTTCAAACCACCTGGACATTATGTTCACATATGTTAGGGGTCCGAGTTTTGTTGAAAATAGTAATCGCCCCGAATTCTCAGGTTTCGAAAGGTTGGGGTCAATTTTTACTTCAAAATGATCAGATTGAATTCCTTAGTCATAATTCGGCCGATGCAATGTAATTTGGCAACCCTTTCCCACAATATGCACCCTAAACCGTTACGGAACCACCTCCATGCTTTAGTATCTTATGGATGCATTACTGATTTAGTGTTCCATTAGTCTTTCTCCACACACGAACAAATCAATGTGCCCCAAAGAACTTGACCTTGATCTCGTCTGTCCGCAGGATATGTTTCCGATCGTTAATTGTCCAAGCGCTGTGATCCCTAGCCCATTTCGGGCCCAGGCCTTGATTACGGTTTGAAATGAATGGTTTCCCCTTGTCCCTAGGGTATTTAACAAATGTTCCTGCAGTCTGTTCCTCACTGTTTGTGGATTAATGGAAAGATCTAACCCTTGGTTAACTTCCGGAGACATTTTGGTCGCAGATATCCCTCTACTTGACATCTCTTTATGACAATTCTTTTTGTCCAAATGAGCGAAGTTTTTTTCATTTTTCGATCTTTTCCTTTCCGATTTACCACTGAGCCAGTGGCTATCCATTTGCTGATAATTTTAGCAATTATTGACTTATGATGTTTAGTTTTTTTCATTAATATTGTCGTAGTTCAGTCTTTCCTGGTGAAGAGGAATAATTTTATTTGTTCATCACGACAAACCTCACGTCTCGCCATTTTCACTAAGCCCTGTCATCTACCTTATTGAAATTCTTAATGAAAGTTCTTTTTCGTCAACAATAGACTATAGTTAGTTATAATTTTTAGCTTACCGAAGACTGGACGTCAAGAAAATGAAAATGTTTAAACTAAACTTCTAACGTATACTCAATTTTTTGGTGCAAAGTTTTGTTTTTCTCGGACGTATGCTTAAGTTCACTCTGAAATAACTGGTTTGCAAGAAATTTGCAACGAAAATTAGATTCCGTATTATATTCTGAGTTACATATGCAAATTTCAGTGTCAAACTTTTAACAACCAAGAATTTATTCAATGCTGAATGAAGCGCCGTTGTACCGTGGACTCAATTGTTTGATACACTGTATGTACCGATAGTTACCATGTATATGTACCATACTTTAAAGATATATGTACACATACCACTTTAACCCTGGTAAATGAATCAATGTAAAAATCAATACAAAAAGTGATGCATAACTTGTTCCCCAATTTATTTATTTATGCATTTTATATTTTCATTATGTATGTATGTAACATCAATCACAATTTAAATCGCATCCCGAGCAGTCGCAGTCCAAACTGTCGCAACAACAGCAACAGCAGAGCCAAGGATCAGGATCACAGTGACCACTTTCGCAGCAATAGGAAACCTATTAAATGCAACCAAACGTCAGATTATTTCCATTTTTGAGTTGTATCGCCTAATTGGCATAAAAGTCAATTACAAAGGACGTAACCTATAGAAATTTAATTAAATGCAGTTAAATATGTATCACCCTACCGAAAACCTTTAAAACATATACAAATTTTAAAAAAATCAAATTTTCAGCTCCAAATTTTTACTGTAATGCAAATCATTCTCAATTTCGAAGTTATTTATGGCCGCTTAATTAAACAATTTCGTGAACCAATTAACTAATCATTAGCAGATTTAAATTTATGATACGTACATAATCACCAATAAAATTTTGATTAATTGTAGAGGCTAATCATTAATCAATTAGATAAGTTTTGAAGCTTTGATTAATTATTAATCAATTCACTTTCTAAAAAATTTTGATTAGTCATTAATTAGTAATAAATTAACTTTTTAGTAAATTTTGATTAATCAAGGAATCGTATGATTAATTTATCCATTAACCACTTCACCCCTGAGAGACGCATATTTTCATACCTTTCACCCCTAGCAACCACGAATTTTTACTTCCCTTGACCCCGCAATTTTCACCTACTGCATGACGTTAATTACTGGGAGATCAATTTAAAAATGGTGTTCCCACCTGAATTATTCTGGACACTTTTTTATGAAAGTTGATGCGAATAACCATTTTGGCACGGATATTGAGCCGTAATTTGCATCTTTGCGTTTTTGTGACCCACTAATATTTATAGCCGAAAATAGCCAACCCGCCGAATTTTGAAAATGATTGTAATCCCATGGATAGTTAGACAGACATGGAGTAACACTTGCATAATAGTACATAAATTCGCAAAAATCGATTATCGCGCCTCAAGCGCCCCAGAAGTAGATTTGGGCGGGAAAATTAAACTCCGCAAATATTGCTCTCAATTCTTGACATACAATATACAGGCTATAATTATAGCATCAACTGTTCGAAATCGACTTTAGCGCATTTGGTGTATATAACTCAATTCTAAGGAAAATTAATTGCTATTAATTCCAGGCAATCTCTTAATTTTCCCGCCCAAAGAGATTTCACCAGCTCCAGATATGTAATAATTAATTTTGACGAATTTTGTCGTAGTGGCAATATTATTTGTAGCCTATAATATTAATTTCATGCAATTCATCCAAGGTTTAATTTTCCCGCCAAAAACGCCCGTTCTAAATCCGAGAAAAACAATTTCTCTAATCTTATCTGAAAGCACTGTTGAAATAGGTGACAAAAATTCCATCCAACAGCAGTTTTCAAAACTGGGCGTGTTGGCTAGAAATAGCCACTTGGCTATAAATTGTTTTCACCTCCCTTTATAACATTGATTGCGAAGAGGCAATTCATCTTCCCGCCCAAAGGGCGTTTTGTTGACTCAAAACTATACTTTGCTATACTTGGAAGGGCAATGACCTAATTTTTTTCTGGATACGACACATAGTCGTATGCCGGCGTGAACGGAAAATACGCCACATAGTCGTATCCGTTGTCAAGGGTCAATACGACACATCGTCGTACTCCGGAGCCAAGGGAACTTACGCCACATAGTCGTATCCGGTGTAAAGATCAAATACGCCACATAGTCGTTATAGGGGCGAAGTGGTTAATCAAACAGCCCTGCGTTGAAGGTGGCGTCTCTGATCTACAATTTTCTGCGTATAATTCGAAAGACATCATTTATTTAACCCTCATCCTCACCTCATTTCCTTCCTGATTATTTTCAGAAACATCGACAATTTTGTAATACGCGACGCACATTCCGGGCCACCAGCCTAGTAAAGTGGCGCCCAACGTAAAAACCGTGTCCGTACAACTCCTCGTGACATACAGAACGGCCAACGGTGGACAAAAGATGATTGCAATAAGTAACCAAACTCCGAGGTCGTAAGGTGAAATTTTTCCCCGGATTAATTTCGGACTTTGCTCATTTCTTAGTTCGGAAGTGATCTCAGTTTCTTCAGGATTTGCTATGTTTAGTGCGACGGGTTGGTCTTCAATCACTTTTGGCATTTTGATTTATTAATTAATTAATTTATGTATGTACAGTTATGACCAACACATTGTAAATATTTTGCTCGCATTAAACTGTAGTATTTTCGTTAATTGTTTATTTATTTTTACGTTATAATTAGTGATCCTATAGTTTTAGTATCCAATTAATTAATGAAAATGTTACTTTTTCAAGCATACATATGTAAGTAAATTTATATTCACTTTTCTGACCACAGGAAAGCAGTATAATGTTTGTGGTTAAAATCAAGCACATACATATGTATGAAACTGACTATATGTATGAAACCGCGTCCAAGAATTACATATGTACATAAATACAAGCTACAAGGAATTACTACCCTGTTTCTGGGTTTACATCCTCCATATTCGTCAGAAATTAAGGAATTAAGGAAGTTAAGATTATTAAACTACCAACATTATATTACATAATTTCAGGTTTAATAGCGGTTTAATAACCGTATTAACTTTGTATATGCAGCATACAGCATACAGTATATGCAGTATAAGTACATATGTAAATTATTTTGTATGTACATACATATATATGTTTGTGCATTTCTTCATTAAAATTTTGCATGCACAGTTGCAGTTTACAACTTTTAAAGGCTCTCCAAATTTTGACCAAATTTGTGTCAATGGATTACAAATTTAATTATTAATTAATTGAATTACATACAAATTTGCGTCCGAGAAGAGGATAAAACGGGAAATACCTTTGAAACTTTGCCGGATTTAGGGTACATTTTCTTCTCTTTGGATGCAAATATTCAAAAACAAAAAAAAACATGCAAAAACATATAAACATTCATAAAAATCCTTTGTTCGTGAGATTCTGGGCAAGCGGGAACCAAATACAGAATGTAAACTCGTAAAACTCAACTCATCTGTTCTTTAAAAAATAAACAAAAATGGATAATTCTCAAAATTTCGTTAATTGCTGCATTTGCGGTGTTTCAGATAAGCCCATTGCCCCCCTTAAACTTCAATATTCTCACCAGATATGTGAATTATTGCGAAAGAGTGACATTTTTCTACAAAATTCACAAATTTCGAGTTGGAATAATTGTGATCACTGTTTAAAATTAATTTCTGAATTAAATCTCTTAATAACCATGCAATGCGAAATCGTGGAACGGATTAAGAAAAAGATTGCGAAAGGTGAGCTGAGAACTGCGTGCAATTTTATGTTAGAATTTTTTAAATTGATTAATGTACAATTTTAATTCATTGGAAATACATTAATTAAGTACAAATTAATTAATCTAATCAAGATAATTTTGTCGCCCTCACTCACGACTCTTGTGCACCCTCAATAATTAATGACCTCGTAATCCGGTTTTGAAATCATCTCACAAAAACGTGAAGATAACTTTTATATGATAAACGAAACGATAAACATTTTGCATTTTGAGTCAAAATTAATGACGTAATTTTCTTATTATTTATTTAGAAGGGAAGACGAAAACCAGTAATTTATTCGAAACACCTGATATCAAGGAGGAGGAGGAGGAGGAATACAAATCCGAGACTGAATTCGAATCATCCGAATTTTTTTGCAAAATTGAAGTGGATCCTGACCCCGATGAATCGATAAGTCACGACAACGACGAGGAGGAGGACACATTTACTATACAAACTTTTGACCCTCCAACACCCACTGGGGCCACAAGTACAAAATAATTATTAATTAACCTACAAATTATAACTATTCATTTCGAGTTCGCGAGTTTCCTTCGCACGTCACACGTTGCGATTTGCAACATGATTTTGAAACAAAAAATTATCAAAGAACACTAGCCGTGGAGATAAGTAATTTCACAAATGAATTTCCGTCAAAATTTTTCTGGCAACTTTGGTGACGATACGAACTCGTACATGGAATTCATACCCCCATTGATAAAAACGCCAATTTTTTGCTAATAAATTCCAAATCATATTTGCAGGTTCCGAAGAATCGGGAAGTCCCGACGAGGACTCCCTTCCTTTTGACCCCCTATCATCCCGAACTCCTGCCGGAGAGGCAACAAGTACGCAATAATTAACAACTTAAATTAATTACAAATACTCGATTGTTCCAAATAAATTCAAAATTGTAAATTCACTCCCAGCTTCCTCCAACACCAGCCGCCGTCCAAAATCTCCCCCCGGACCACGAGTTTGCCCCACGTGTAACAAACTATTCCGCGGAGGCCATGCCAAACAACGCCTTCGCCTCCATATCGAGCACGTGCACGGAAACGTTCGAAAATTTGCGTGTCCCTACTGCCCCAATAATCTCGCTTTTACCACGAAACAACTCTGGCTTCGTCACCTCCTCCAAAAACATGAGATCCTAACCCCCGAAAAATCCTTGTCGTGCCCCACATGCCCAAAAAAGTTCGCCATTTCGCAGCTGCACAAGCGCCACTTAGAAAATCATGCGAAACTTGACATGTTTCCATTTTTCTGTCCCATTTGCGACACCCGATTTAAACGAGAAGGTCAATTAAAACGTCACACCATGGGATCATGTCCCCTCCTTGAGACGACGAGCAAGGAACAAAAAACGTTTCCGTGTTCTAACTGCGATGCCAAATTTTTGCAACCGATTAAACTGGCGATTCATCAAAGATCACGACATCCCGAGCTCTTAACGTGGATTTGCGCCACGTGCGGCTCTCTTCATTTGACGGAGTCTCATCTCGCGACACATTCCCTCCTTCACGAAAATTCCGGTATTGATTCCTTTCATACTTAAAAATACGTCAAGAAGGTTACGACGAGGTCTTGTGGTGTAGGATTTCTCATCGAAAATAGAATTACTAGCAATGGGGGCGTAAATTATATACTTTTTTTGCTTTCTCAGTTTGAAAGACCAACGCTTTATAAACTAATTTTTTTGCCACGCTTGCGCAGATTCCGCTGCGAGAACCGAGCGTTTTCGCTACCTTGAGACTAACATAACGCTCTGAATTACAATGGTTTGCGCCCCCTATTATGAGCCAACGATTTTTACCTCTTCTTCGTAACCTATTTTATGTACATTACTACGAATAACGGAAAATAATGAATACCCCCTTTGATTTAGATTCGTATGGTTGCCTCGTCTGTAAAAGGGGCATCTTCAACACAAAAGACCACCTGAGTCTGCACCTCTCAAAGAATCACACCGGCGAAGCAACCATCCCCTGTGGCGTCCCAGGCTGTCCCGCCCTCTTCCCGAACGTGCCTAGCAAGCTACAACACATGGGATCCGCGCACAACGAGGCCGTCTTTCCGTGTACCTCGTGCGCCGAAAAGTTCGTCACTTTATCCGCGAGAATTGCGCATGCCCAAAGCGCCCACAAGGACGCCGGCCTCGAATCCTTTCCCTGCGAGTGGGACGCGTGTGGGAAAGTGTTTACGACTCGGGCCGCGTTGGGAAGGCACGTGCGCAAGCTGCATATGCGGATTGGGCACAAAATGTGTGAAATTTGTGGGAAGGAGTTAACCACGCCGCAATCTTATCGGGATCATATGAAGATTCATAACGGGGTGAAGGACATCATTTGCGAGGTTTGCGGGAGGGGGTTCACGTGTCGGAAGATTTTAGAGTGTCACATGGTCACCCACACGGGGGAGAGACCGTTCAAGTGTAAATTCTGTGAGAAGGCGTATACGCAGAGACACGTGCTCACAAGCCATGTGAGGAAGGTGCATGGGAACGATTAAAAATTAGGGCATATATAAGTAGGAAAACCTAATATTGGGCGACATAACATGCGTCGCAACTCATTTAATCATTTTTTACTCAAATCCTAAAAACTTCCTGAAATCTGTCAAAGCTTCGCAAGTTTTTTTTTGCATTGGCGAAGTATGCGAACATTTGTGATTTGTGAAAATTTGAGAAATTTGAGATTCACCATGCGTACATACATGTAAATATGGTGACACGATTCAGTATTTCTGCTACAGTGGGTTTTTTTTCAGTTATATCTTTCTTAAACAATAAATGTGTTAATTACATGTAGGAATGGTTAGAATCTATGCAAAAAATAAAGTTTGAACAAATTTTAAGTTCAAAATTAATTTGCGAACAACTCGTAATGAAAAATCGTTATGCGAATGTGACATGTCTGGTATTAAATTTCTGTAACCAAATTATTACACAATTATATTTCCTTGTACATATATTTACTTATTTAACTGATGTTGTTACAAAATGTGGGTTCAGTAATGTGCACATACATACATATCTGTTCAAAAATTTAGTTTTCATGCAAAAAAGTCCGTTATCTCTATTTTTGATATCAGATTTTCAATCACATTTAGTCATTTTCCATCAAATTCATATCATTTCCCTTCATTGGACCTCATTTCTTACTTCGCCTCATGTACATATTAAGCATACGATGAAAACTGGAAAGAGTGAAAAATCCTTTCATTCACCCGAAATCCTGCAGTAATTTTCATTCAAATGACAGGAATTTCATTTTTATTTAGTATCATAATCAGTCAAATGAATGAATGCGAACAGGTATGTATGTAAACATTTTTTATGGTACATATCCACTAGATTTCTTACTATTCTATACTTCATTAAACATATAAGAAAAGTATGCAATTCCAAATAATAACAAATCTAATTAAACTAAAAATAACAAAAATTTCTAACAGTGTAAATATATAACATAAAATTAATGTATAAAATTTCGATCTATTAGGTCGAAATTTTAGGCCGGCGTGTTATCTAACACACCAGCCGGACCTTTAGAAATTCCACAGGCCTTACCGATCTTAGCCTAGGATAACCCAGAGGTTATTTGACTAGGGTCAAATGTCGCTGGGATCCCCCCTACCAAACCCTGAACAGTCCCCAAAAGCGTCTGCGCTAGATCAAGATTAGGACCTAGAGCTGGAGATAGGGTATAACCAACGCCGGCTCGAGGTGCGTTCCAGCCACCTCCCGAAACGCCGTACTTCTGTGTGGTGATGAAGTAGTTGAGTAAGAATTGGTCCACTTCGTCATGCCAAGGATCCCTTCGACACCGACCAAACTGCTTCCCGGTACGTTTCCTCGTTTTCACTGTAAAGTGTAGTAAGTTTTTAGCGATTAAGGATTGTAATAATACATACATATACACACGACAAAATAGAGAACAAGAAAGAACCAAAAATATTTTGGGAACAAGGTTTTGAACTTTATCAGGATTTCTTGCTAGATGGCGCCTTGTGGGAAATATTTCCTCCGGCAAAATCATTTTAAGAAAAGACTTAAAAAAAGACGCTTTTTATGGTAAGCATTAAGGGTATTCACTATCCCTTCCTAAAAATTATTTATATATATAATCCCTAGTACTCTGCTTGGTCTTAAAATAAGCTATGACGGTTACTAGATTTTGCAAACGTGGTAACATTCTGTCATGGAAAATTGCGTTACTAAGGTTACGATTTTTACCAAGCTTAACCCCATCTTTTTTCTTCGTAAGATACATATTTTACGACAATGAGGAGGTGTGAGGTGGTTATCGCCGATATCCACCGGACTAATTTTAAATTGTTCATGCTCAAAAATAAGTGGACCCGTATTTTTTCGTTTTCCTGAATGGGCATGTTTACGCCCTTCAAAAAAAATTCAGTTAAAATTCGGATTTTTAAAAACGCTGTAACTTTTCGAATTTTAACCCGATTTCAAAAAATAAACCCATTTTTTGTTCAGAATTACATCCCTGAAAATATAAAAATTCATTAAAAAAAATTTTTTAATTTTAAAAAAATTATCGTTTTTTGGGTTTATAAAAATTCAGAAATTGCATGAAAATATCAAATTTTAAAAATTTTTTAAAATGAATTTTTATGTTTTCAGGGATGCAATTCTGAACACAAATTGGGTTTATTTTTTTAAATCGGGTTAAAATCCGAAAAGTTACAGCGTTTTTAAAAATCCGAATTTTGGCTGAAATTTTTTTTGAAAATTCCGCCAAGGGCGTAAACATGCCCATTCACCATTCAGGAAAACGAAAAAATACGGGTCCACTTATTTTTGAAAGTGAACAATTTAAAATTAGTCCAGTGGATATCGGGGATAACCACCTCACACCTCCTCATTGTAAGTACGTCCACCGGAAGGATCTGTATATGCATAAACAAATGCTTTCCAAAACATCAAATCTATCAAATTATTACGAGAATTGCCATATTTTATGATAGCCTGGACGTCCGGCATTATCAATTCTCGCCGTTCTAGGTTCCGGTCCCCCAATCGGATTGATGGCTTCACATATTTTCCAAGATCCCAACTTTTCCCAAATTGTGGAAATAACTTGTTCCCATGTATCGTCATCGGTCGTGTCGGAAACGGATGCGACAGCTCGACCTCAAATATTACTAGGGTTGCCGCGGGTAACGGGTCGGGTACCCGTTACCCGCATACCCGCACGATTCTTGCGGGTACCCGTTATCTGCGGGTAGCGAGAACTACCCGCACGGGTAACGGGTAGTTCAGTTTTTATTTAATTTTCAACATAAATCAGTTCACAAAGAAAGTTAGCAGCTAGTTAGTCCATTTACCAACAAAAGCGTCAATTTATTATTTTTCCATTTCAAAATTTTTCATTTGCCAGCAAAAAACGTTTATAACGTGCGTGTCTTTACGGAAGGCACAGAGGCCTATGCCGGCCTCAAATATTTTTCACGTCCAGAAAATGCGGAGCAATTACATATTGTTTCTCAAGCATGGTTTGCCCGCTCAAAATATCAGTAATAATTTTACTTGTATTTGTGTGTATTTATTTATGTAAGACTGCCGAGATTTTAATTTGTGCTTTGAAGATAAAAAATCTTAATCCGATTGAAGACAAAAAATTTATTTGTAGACAATTTTTTTGAATGAAAACTTCATTTAAATCAAAATTTGAAAAAATAGAAACAAAAATTGAACCTTTTTAAAGCTAAACCAAGATTACCCAGCGAGCATATATCAAAAAGTCACGCCAAAAATTAGGAATCGCGTGATACTTATGTATCTTTCCTTTGAATGGCCCCTTCGACGAATAATATTGGCGGTAAAGTTTAATTTTTAAGTAAATGTTCTGTATCTTTTTCCTGGTTTCCTGCTGTCGTGGTTTTTCCGAAGTCCATGGTCGACTTTGAACTCTGCCCCCGCCATAGTTTCCTTTAAACTGTTCATTCAATGGGAAAATTAGTTCGATGTAATTCCTATTTTTTGGTTTAATTTTTTGATGAATCATAAATCTCTAAGAATACCCACATACATAGCTTGAAAAACGATCCAATTGTACACCAAAAAGCATGCCTTACTTGCATAGTATTATCTCAAAATATATCAACCCAAATGAAAAAATAATTGATCAAATCAAACTTATTCTCATGCTTGGTTAGTTTTTAACCCAATTCTCATAACGGGTAGCGGGCAACGGGTACCCGCACGGGTACCCGTGCGGGTACGGGTAGTTGTGCTGCGGGTAGCGGGTCGGGTAACGGGTAGCATTTTCGCTACCCGCGGCAACCCTAAATATTACTACTATAATTATGCTAGCAACCTGTAGTAATTTATACCCAATTAAACATAATTATCTACATATTTACAGGGTGGTTTAAATGTCAGGTTACAAGTTACAATTCAAAATTTTTCAATGGGGAAAATTCGTAAATTTCCATTGGTTACGGATTTGAGATTTTTATTAGGTAGTAGGTAGGTATGTATTTATTTCAAGATTGATATGGCCATTGCCTTTACAATCATCTTAGACATTCATTTCATACAAAATGACATTTATACATACATAATTTCATCCTATAATACACAAATCAACTAATCTGGTATAGTATGTATTTAGTTGTGGGCATTATCCACAAGTAGCACCCGGCATCCCAATACAGGCTAACTACACACTATGGCAAATACATGACAAGCTCATAATCAAATGATAAAATGTATGAAGCAGTAAGGGTGTAGAGGGAAAACCGGAGATGGTCTCGGAAAACCTCTACATGTATTGGGAATATGGCCCAATACACCATTCGGCCCATTACTGCTGGACACCAGGTAGGAAAATGAATGGCAGGGATACATAGGCGGATTCCGTGGGGTGGTGGTGATATCCAAATGAGAGTGGCGTCTGCATGCGGAAGTAGACAATGAAGGTTGTTGGGCGGGGGCTGTCCACGGACCGCAGGATCTTGCCCACGTCCCCCATGGAAGCCGTAGCCGGGGCCGACGACACCCCCACTTGCCCCTTCTCCCATCACAACATAATCAGGTCATGGGACCCCCGTAGACCCGACCATGCCGCCCTCCGTCATGCACGACCCCATCCCCCACTCTTCAAACAACCACTCCCCACGGTCACCACCCCGATATGCCAAACAAAAAAACCTACCTGGGGAGTCCCTCCAAGACGTACATCCTCCAGTGCACAGAGTCCGGCGAAATCCTTCTTCGCCTGATGGCCAGCTTGTCGTTGCTGGGACGGGTGTGGCAGGGGGTGTCACCAGGCACGCAGGTGGGGGAGTGAGTGGACGAGGCTCACGTGGCGTTAAGGCCTTTGGACACACTTCACTTGCCCTGGCACACCCGCGACCCAGATGGAAGAGGATCCAGCCAGATGCAGAGCGAGAGAGAGATACGTGTGCACATGGAGGAAGTCAAAGAGGAACTTTTTGAGATTTTTATTAATTTAACACAAAAGTTATGGAACACTGCATGATGACAAATTCTTAAAATATTGAATTTCAGAGGTAAAATTTCCGTAACTAGTGGAGATTTTCGAATTTTTTTCATTGCAAAATTTTCCATTATAACCTGACATTTAAATCACCCTGTACATGGACAAAAAAATATTTAGATTTTTACATAATCGTAAGCGTATCAACGTACCAAAAATCTCGGCTGCATTGTATATCTTAAACAAAATTTTATTCTCGGAACGCGTCGATTTGTTATTACTCCAAGCGTCCGTCTTCACCTCTGCGAAGGAAAAAAGTTACTGAACTTATTAAATTCGAGTAAAAATTTCGTGACCCACAAGTACTTGCAAGATTGTCGATAAGTATCTACATATTATTACCCGCGGCAACCCTAGTTAAAATATTTTTGCGCCATCTAGTGGGGTAACGTGAGACTGAACTGGGGCAATGTGAGATTCGACTGGGGCAATGTGAGACTGGGCTGGGGCAATGTGAGACTGGGTTGGGGCATCGTGAGACTGGGTTGCGGCAACGTGAGATTGGACTGCGGCACGGTAGAAATTGCTTGGGGTAATATGAGACGATACTATGTTTATTTGCGACGCTTATTTGAGTATGTAAAATAATTATCTACCCCATATTCCTTCACCCTTCTTCCCCGGAGGAGAAGGAGTGAGGGAGATGAATGAGATGAAGCCTTCCTTCACCCTTCATTCCACTCATTTCTCATTTGGGGCTCCCTCACTCACCTTCACTCTCCTTCACTCTCTCATCGTGAATGAAGCTTCAATTTACGGAAATTGAGTGAAGCTGCACAGGTATGGGTGACTAGCACAGAAAATTCCAGTGTATCACTGTATCATATGCATATGACATATTCTGATTCACTCAAATATGTATGTATATATATGTATTTTGAAAATAAGCATTTATCTAGCATTATTGCATAAATAAGCATTTCGGCATTTTCCCACCTGGAATTTCGACTCACTGTACACACAAGCCCACAGGTTGTGAAGTTTTCATATACTTGAAAGAAGGGTCAAAATTCAAACCATTTAAACTTGATCCGTAGAAAGATCTTTTGTAACTAACCCAATCACCTCGGAAGGGTCCAAAAGTGGGCAGTAAGTAACGAGGAACATTTTAGAAAGGTTTACTTCAAAAAGAGCATCGTTATTATAGAAAAAGATTACATATAGAAAAAGCTGTTGAAGAATTTAGGTGTGGGGCCGTACATAAATCATATGACCGATTTCCGGAGAATTTTGACCCCGTTTGACCTATTTGCCCCCTGTTATAATTAACACCAGAAGAATAAGATGTCCCTCAAAACGATCCCATACTTTTCGTGCAGTCCCTAATGTAATTTAACGTGTTGAATACAGGCTCCATCTCACTTCGTATTAAAAGGAAGCTTGAATATTAGTTTTTTCGGTAACGAGTGAGTGCTAATTAATCTCTACTTTATAATTACACAAGTATTCCGAGCAGCCATGTCTTCAATTAAGGCAACTAATTCAATCTCCATTTCTACCGCTATGGCAAATTTATTGGTAAGTTGATACATATATTTAGTAGCTATAAAATATAAGTTTCCCTATTATTCATGTTAAAATTTGGAAACAAATTCCTCAGATTGCGATTCGTACTGTACATGATTCGGAAATTGTTTTATGACTGATCCTAAAAATTTATCAGCATTAAGCAATCACGCGCTATAAATTTTTCTTGTCCATCAAATCAATTTCTTTATTTAATATATAAACCAGTAATTTGCCCTCAATATGCATAGATTCTTCGCGGAATCTTCTCGCACATGACCATCCGTGAGTTGAAGGAGGCTCGAAAGGTGTCCAAAATCTGGGAAAACGTGGTAACCATGATCTTCCAGAATAAAACGGTATTCTCCTACGTGCCCTACTACAACTCTGTTCTCGCGGGAAATTCAAATCCTTCCTGTAACGTTGCCCTCTTTCGCGCCATTTCACTGAGCCCATATTCCCCTACACTCTTAGAAACTGGGTATTGGTCTGTGTAAAATTTTAATACCGTCGTGCTGGTATAATCACGCAGTCACGAATCGGTATTAAAATATTTCGAAAAATCAATACCACGAGCTTGTACGTGGAGAGTATTAACTTGTAATACCGAGTTGGTAAAACATCAATACTGACTGGTACTGATTTTATACCACGTTTACCTGGTCTCAGTCACATATGAATACCGCCTGGTATTGATCTGGTATTGATTTTTCTAAGAGTGTACAGTTTACTTGCGCGATCCTACATTCATCCTGGATTTCACGTCTTTCGTTTCAAGATATCAAGATCACATTCAGGAAATTTGTCTCTACATGCCCCAAAGTTGTTATACTGCGATGGTTCGACTCCTTGAGAATGTGCCATTTCAAAATTGGAAATTTCTGAAAATTAAGGTCTACGAGAGGCCTGACGATCCACTGTCTATCGAAATTATCGAGTCACCAGTGAAATGTGACATGCCAAATTTGAAGGGATTAAGTCTTCAGAATTTAAATCGATTGAACACCTCGACGAATTTTCAGGCAATCGCGACCCAAATTTTGAAACAAGCAGTAAATTTGGAAAACTTGGAGATAACTGATGAATCCAATTTTTTCCCGGATTTGTCATCTTGCCAGAAGCTGAAATATTTCACGTGGGAATTTCACCCTTATAAAATAAAACCGCTCGGGTAACCTTTGTAAGTTCGAAAGTTAAGAAAAATATTTTGTACACTGTTAAAAATCCAGTATTAAAATATTACCAAGCGGTATTCATGCAAGTACATATGTACATATGAATGACTCTAACAATGTAAATAGTATTGAAAACTAATACCGTGTAGTAGCAGCTCGGTATTAAAGGCTTGCCATATCGGTGTCAAATTTTTACGGACCGGTATAATTTTAATACCAAGCGGTATACCAATTTAAATACAGAAAAATTAACACCTGCTTCTGACAATACCTGATTTTTAACAATGTAAAAAATTCTAGCTGCAATTTTGTTTAAACATTTCAGCGAATTTTGTGACAACTTCACCATTCAAAAAATCCTCGACATGCTCACCCAGGTTTCCGAAACGTTACAATATTTCCAAGCCGGTGTGTTAAAAGTGTGCCGGAACCCACCAAAGGTTACGGTAGGTCAATGATATGTAATAATAAGCAGGGGGCGGATATGTATGTATTTATTTTTAATTTTTTTCATCTGATGACTACCGACTGTCAAGCTCTATGGTTGCGTTCACTAACTCATACATACATAGATCACAAACATTTGCAAAATAATTATTTCATATTCTTTAAAAAAAACCATATAAATATTTTTTGAAAAATACGTGTTTTATGAATATTTCGAGTCAATATATATACATATTTTCAGTAATGCGAGACTAATGAAATTTAATCACAAGAAATCCAGTCCAGAGCATTAAATTCAAAATACAAATTTTGTAATTCTTTTTCCTAAATATTTGCTAAACCTCAAATACATATTTCAGAACTTTCAGAAATAGATATCCGCCTCCTGATAATATTACCGGGATATTATCAAGATCTTGTCGAGATTAATTTAAAAAAATCGATTTCTACAGATCGACCCTGCACATTTCAAATTTCCCACCATGAAGAAGCTCGCTAGTTTATGTCTCCCCACTGTGAACCAGTTTGACCTCGGATTCACAAACTTGACCCAGGTTGACCTACCTTCTTTAAAGCGGGTCGATTTAAAATTAGAGGAAGGGGATTACCAATTTAGCGGATGTTTAACCAATTTCTTGATGAATTTATCCCCGAAATTTCCCTTGTCCAGCGTGGAGGAACTTCGGTTGGAAGTAGTTGATATAGATTGCCCCACATCGGACCTCATTTCGTTCAAAATTTGGCAAACCTTCCCCAATTTGGAACGTTTAACGGTAAAAATTTGTGAACCAAAGGAGCGAGACGACAAGATGAAAGAGTTTTTTAAAAATTTGCGCCAATGTGTGGACACTTTGTCCTACCTGACGATCCTGATCTGCACGAAGTGCAGTTTTTCCGAGTTGATGGACGGCATGGGGTGTGGTCGCAAGGGTGACGAGGACGGATACCATTTTCCAAAAGGTGAGTTCATTCACGCAATTTCATAATTTACTACATAACCTTAAGGATCAATGTCGTCGGAAGCGTGAAACTATAATTTTACAGATATTACCAAATGGAAGCAAATTTAATATCGAAAAATCAATACATGCCTGGGTGAAAATTTCATGTATTTTTATGCATAATTTGCTTGCATAATTATGCCTGAATTAGGGCAAGAATTGACAGGTTTTTATTCAAGAAAGTTTATGCATATACTTTATGCAGAATATCTTGTTCCATTTGGTCATGTCGAGTAAGTTATGCATAAGACAGATACATAATGTATGCATATGGGTTACCATGTACATACATAATGACAATAGACACAGCTTTGTAACAGTGTGTCCCATTTTATGCGTAATTAGGGTCACTGAAACACATCCAAGTGGTTAGATGATAGTCATCCTCGTTGCGGTCGAACGATCCGCGGTGTAAAAAATATGAGACAGCGTTTAAAATCTGGCAGCCCAATTTGTCGTTTCTTGGCTTTGAGGTTAGTGAAATTTGTAATATCTGTAGATATCTGTCTTGCATCGTTATAAATATGTATGTAGGTGGTTGTTTATTTCAGTTCCAAGTTGCCGCATTGTCTCGGATGTTGGACTTTATTCGGGAAAACGAACTTAAGGTGGACTTCGTGGATTGGTATTGACATGTTGATCACGACGAAAGTACATACAGAAAAATTCCATTTGTCAAATGTGGTGTTTTTGATCATATAGTTGCATTATAATTAATTTAATGTCATGTATGTATTCATAAAATAAAAATGCATGCTTCATTTTAATGATAAAATACAGTATGATCTAATAAAAATTCTACAAAGAATTAATAAAATGCATATTTATGTGAATTTTTAACAACAATCCTGCAAAATTTTTGTGAAATCTTGAAACTTTCGCGAGTATGTGTGGATCTAATACCTGTAATTGAGGGCCCCACGGATGCTACTGCAATGAAAATCTTACCACTTAGAAACAAACTACTACCAATCTGCTAGAAAATTATTACCACACAACTCTACCAGATTTTTAACAGTGTAAGATTGATAATAATTTTTATGCATGTAAATATCACACATTTTTTGCTTGCAGATTTGTGTGCACTCCACAGTCTGCTGAAATCGGTGAGTGGAATTTTTAATCAATAATTTAGTCTGCTAATTTATTTGAGACCCAAATTCTAACAAGTTTGCTGTGAAAAAAAGAAAGGGCTAAGTTTTGTCAATTGTCAGATAAATTAATCAAGAAATAATTACGACAAATGTTTTAAATCAAATTTATTCTAGCTTTTTTTTTACACCGAATACAAATTTTAAACCATAATTAGATGTTTTAATTTGAAGATGTTGCTCAACTTTTTGTCTTTTCACTTAGAATTCCACATTTCTGTGAAAAGCGCATCCATCGACATATTCCAGGCGGAGTACCCCTCTCCGGACAAATGAATCATATCAGGGTCGAACAAATTGTTGTTGAAGACGCCATCACCGACATAATACGTGTCCCGCATGTTGAAAAATCGAACCATGCCGCCATTATCGAGGATGGAGATGTACTCGTTAACCTTATCGACTAGGACCATTGTTTGCACGTTGTGGCGTGGGAGGACGCCGAGGAGAAGGATCTTCGTCGTGGGGAGGCGACTTCTCAGCTCGTTCACGATAGCGGCAACGCCTCGGGCGATGTCGAACTCCGTATTGCCCCAAATGTTGTTCGTCCCTGAGATAAAATTTTGTAATTATGTAGATAATTAAATATGTAATTTTATAAATACTAATAAATATGTACATACATTGGACCTGCAAACATACACAAATTATAATATTCATGCAAACATTTTTGAGAGTTAAAACTACTTTGAGATATTACATGTCACGTGCATACATGTTTCACTTTCATTCATTGAATGAATGAAGGCATAAATAATTATCAAAACGAATTAATAAAGAATAAATATTTTTTTGTAATTTTTTAAGATAATACAGAAGTATTTTTTGAACAGGTATGTATGATCACGTGTATTTTGAAATTATATATTTTGTTAAAAATCCCCTCCGTTACCTGTAATCAGTTTAATGCATTACAATGGAAACCATAACTACATAAATAATAGTTTCAAAAATTGAACCAAAAGTGAAGAAAAATGCAAGAAAAATTGCATGTTACGTACAAAAACAATTTGTATATAAGTAAAACTCATAAGTTGCAAATCGTAAAATGTATCGAACCGATCTAACAAAAATGAATTTAAACAATAGTATCACAACTTTATTCCAACATATCTATTTAAAACAGCACTAAATTGACTAAATCCAAATAAAAACAAGTTAAGAAAACTCACCAATTTTAACGACGCAAAGTTTCGGCGATACATTGTCGACCTCTCCATTAATAATTCTCCAGAGGACGTGCTCCACTCGGTCGGCCCCAATCCCATAGTTTGCCGCACCCAAGGGGGCATATCTTATTTAATCAGTAATTAAACCTCATAAATTGTACATAAACACAATTAGTAATTACGTCCTTAATTATTAATTGTTCTTCATATTTATTTTATATGTAGCTCTTATTCGACCAATACCTCGCATCCCAAACGGCCCTCCCGGTATAGTCCCACGCCTCTGTGATCGAGTCTCCGAAGAAAATTACGGTCAAATTAGCCCCATGGAGCTGACTATTGTTAACGAATTCTTGATGTCGATCCAACCACAGCCAAGGCATCCAGTCCTGCTGCTCTTGCGGTTCAGGAATCCATGGCGACCCCGCCGCCGTGACCGTAATTAAGGCAGCGATCACAAAAAATTGTTTCATTCTTGTAAAGCTTTTGCAAATTTAAATAGACCTGTGGGCTTGGCAAAATTGTGGAATTGACTGGGCCAACTGTTGCGATGGAGGTGTGAATTATGCAAAAACTGGATCGGATCAGTTTATTTTTAGTTGTCAAGTAAGATTAGCCGTGATAAATTAAACAGAGCATTATTGTGCATAAGTGGAATTCGTGATCAATCAGCCTCATTCTGTCAAATGAATGGCAGGTTTGACCACTGTATGGCTTCGGGTTATGCATGTGTTAAATTTGTGTAGATAAGGTGATAAAAACATATTACTTATCATTACAATTTGATCAACATTCTTTATTCGCGTAAATTTTAGGTAATTATATAATTATTATTTATTTCATTCCGATATGAAATAATTATCTCATTCTTATGTAATGCATTATATAAATACGCTAAAAATTGGGATCACACAATTACATTTTAAGGTCATTATTCTGGCGAATTGTTTGAAATTTGTAAGAATTGCTTGAAGTATTAGCAGAGAAAAAATTAATTGGTGCTATAATTATATCTTCACTCTGGAAAAACAAGATACCTAGCGTCATACATGCATACATATTTACATAATTATCCTTATAGAAAATTAAAAAAAACTTAATCCATGGTCGTCGTCTCGCCCATATTAAAAGTTTTAAAATAGCTGTTTTTTAAGAATTTTTATCCAGCTCTTGTCCGGCTGGGAGACTTCAATCATACATATGTTCATACTAGTATTGAATTCAGTTAGCTAATTGTGCACACTTCTGTAGATTTGTATAAGCTAATTATGTAATTCAAGATTAGTTATTACGTACATAAGAGTAGAATTGTTACTTCCTTAATTGAAGTTATGCACATTATGATAAAAATATATGTTAAAATAATTTAATAAAACTTGTTATCATTCTTGCTGACATACTTATTGTATTTTAAAGCGTAAAAGGGACATTGCAATTACCAAGAATTAGCAGCGGACATCTCATAACCATCGTTTGATACTGTTCAACTGGTGAAGTTGACACAAGAGTAGTTTTTGGCTCCTCATTATGCTTATGTAGGAACCTTAAAAGCGGACACTATCTTACTACATATACACTTGATAATATTTGCAATTCATACTTACATAAACACATGTACATAATGCGCTTGTTTAACTGAAATTTTGCTCCAGGAAGGAAGCATGTGATTATTTTAACCCATCTCATGTACATTATGTACAGTACATACATATGTACATATTTACGTTCATAATATGCTGAATATGTTGTAAATGGTTTAGCTAAAGCATAAGTTCATATATAATCAACTTCACCCCTTAAAAAGTAATCATCACTAACTACGTAATTACATAAACTTTGCTAGCGACGTAGTTTAAATTTCTGCGTAATGTGCTTGAACGAAAATTACGTTAAGTTAGTAAATGTTTAAGTAAATAAATTACGTGAAATTGCCTTAAATAAAAGCCTTGTTAAAGCATATATGTATCCAAATATTACTAAAAATGACATTTAAGTCTGTATTTGGTTTAGACTGCTCAGACTTACATACATATGTATACTCCATTTTTATAACACTCTGAAAGCATTTCCTACATTATGATCATATGTAAATTCCACAAATCAGAAGTACAGACGGAAAATATAAGTATTTGATTTAAAGAGCATCCACTAAGGTTTTTGACTGCCCCGTAAAAGGCGCGCTAGGCGGGAACACAGCGAAATGAAATTTCGAAAAAAATATTTTTGAATAGACCAAGTTATAAGCTTTCCATTGATATATGTCACCAATTATTGAGTCATGGCTAAGACTAGAAAAACTTGAGTTGAAAGGCAAGAGTTGAAAAAAAGAGTGATTGTGTTTCACAAAGATCGAACAACCTATGATTCTAAAATCGTTTGGCACTTTTTCAAGCAAGAAGGTATTCCTCATTCAAATGTCAACTCTTACATAAAAAAGTACGAGGAATCCAATGAACTCAAATTCAAAGTCCCCACTGGTCGACCTGCAAAGCTAGCGCGACAAAAGTCAAAAATCGGATAAAAAAAATCTTCAAAAATCATCCATCAACGACAACGGCTGGCGCCGCAAGTAAGGTCGAGATTTCAAAAAGCTATCTGTGCAAAATCAAAGTCCATAAACTAGGGATTATAGCAAGGGCAAAAAAACCAGCACCAAATTACAAACCAACACAACAGGAAAAGATTCATGCGTGCTGGAAGAAATTGTTGAAGAAGATTCGGGGAAAAGTGGTCATCATGGATGATGAGCCCCACGTCACAGCTGACACTTCAAATCTTCCAGGAAGGCATTTTTTCCATAGTTCCAACCCCTGTGAAGTAAAATATGAAGAGAAAGTCCACAAGAAAGACCAATTCCCAAAAAAATGAAGAATTTGGTAATGCATATCGAGACTGGTCATGTTTCTGATCCCGTCATTTTGGAGGGTACTGTAAACAAGGAGGTTAATCTTAAATCATGAATTAAAGGGGGATTGGAATCGTTTATTACCAAAGATCATAAAAAAATCAAGTTTTGTTTTGGCCTGACCTCGCAAGGTCCCATGACGCCAAAAAGGTCACTCAGTACCGACATCTGAAAAAAATTGAATTTGTGCCAAAAAAATAGAAACCCGCCAAATTTTCCTCAACTGCGACCAATTGAGAAATTCTGAACGCTGACTAAGTCCAAATATTCTAAGCTTTCAGAAACGCCAGACACCTTACCAAAATTTAAGAACAGATGGAAGAAAATAAGCTTGAAAGTAGGTGCAGTCTATGGGAGGAATTTGACTCGAAATCGGAAGAAGAAAATGCAATCTGTAGCAGACAGCGGTATTGAATCATTAAAATTTGAACCGTATGGCAATCCAAACCATTTGGTAGTAAACATATGCAACTTTTTTGAAATTACATTAACTGTGCAAAAAGTTCTGAGCATTTTATTGCGTCAGTCAAAAACCTTAGTGGATGCTCTTTAGTCTGCATTTTACAAGATTAAACATGGCTGAAAAATATACCTTACTAGTATCCATCGTTTGTGGAATTTTATCCAATTCCGAAAGCGGGATAAGTTTATATCCTGGCTTGAAAACGTACACACCAAACTCCCAACTTCTACATGGGATAACCTTCTTTACACCCTTAACCAACATTAACTCCAACCTGTGTGCCATCGTCATAGTTGCATCAAAATATAAAAATCCTAGCAAAGGTGAACTCACAACAAAAGCTGGATCATCCACTTTGTCCATCTTCTTCGGGTACACACCACAATTGCGTCTTGCATTTTTTAGACAGGTTTCCAAATTAATGTCGCTATCTTGGTTAGTGGAACTGGAACCAGGCAAGAACGACCAGCTGGTCGTGAAGCAGACTAATGAAGACTCGTGTCTTCTCTTTACGCACGAGATTTTTGCGACATATCGTCGAATCCCATTCTTCTTTAAGTTAGACGCATACTTTCGGTCTTCACAAGGAATCGTTCTCGACTACTACAAATTATCCAGTAACAACTACGTGAGAGCCAGACAGGTCAAAAATCGGCATCGAATGGTTATCAAAACTATCCTTGAAAACGTAAACCTATCCGCGGATGCATGTTATACTCGACGTTTTCCACTTGAACGATCCTTGCGACATATCGAGTTTGGGGTGTCCTCCTTAACCCAGCAAAACGAAAAGGCAGGAATAGCCGAATTGATTCACGCCAGAGAACAGTTTCAGATCAAATTTGCCACCGTTAAGAAAGAGTTATTTGTGGGTTACTTTGTTTCTCTAGTTTCCCCAGTAGGTTGGAGTGTTCTTGTCGCCTCGCTCTTGCTTGGCTGTGTTATCGGAACTTTAATCTTGCTTCATGACCAAGTAGAGTCCAAAATCTGTCAGAATCGTCGAAAAATTCAGTCTCAATCAGTCTTTGACATGCTCATCTTTCTACTTCGTGCCTTTCTTGAACAAGCAGGCGAGCCTAGGCGGGAGATTCGCCATATTTACGCTATCTGGCTGTCATATTGTCTCCTCATCACTGCAACTTACCGATCCAACCTTACTAACTCTCTAAGTAAGCCAGGATCTGTGCAAAATATTGAAAACTTTCAAGACCTGGTAGCCTGTAACAAAACAATTGCAGGCGTGGGACGTAGTGGTAGGCCTGGACAAAGTTCAAATGTTCGAGCCATTCTGGCCGCGGATCATTCTATTTCATTTGAAGAGCGGGAAACCTTTAAGAAACTGGAGAAAAAGTATCGAAAGGAAAAGATTGAACCTGCCGCTCTGGATATTTTGATAGGGAAATACAATTACCTTGACGACGCGGCTCTGATCGAACCTGCTTTTGGAATTATGGAAAAACGTTACGGGATCAACATCTTCGCCGTGGGGCGGGTTAGTCGGGTTGTCGAGGAGTTTTGGGCGGTGGGGTATCATGCGCCAAAGTTTCGTGAGATTTTGAAGACACTTAGGGATTTGGGGCAAACTGGGATATTCGACCATTTCAAGAAGCAGCAAGAACTGATTGAACGGGTTTTATTGCAGCACTCGTTGCAAGTTATTTTGGCCAAGGTGTTCGTCAAAGAGGAGCTAGACCAGGATGAGGAGGATAGTTTTGAGGATATGGCGGAAAAGTATGAGAGATTGAGGTTAAGATTGGCCTTTTTTGGATCGAGAGACGTAGCTAAAGCGCCGAGAAAGTTGAGCTTGAAGAATTTCGTGGGGATTTTAAGTCTGTTGGGATGCGGCTTAACAATAGCCGGTGGGGTGTATGTTTCAGAAATTCGTTTTCGGAGAGATGTATTACTTGCCGGTAACCGGTAGCGTATCAAAATGTTGTCATGTAGCTGGAAATATATAGCGAAAAGCTATCGGCTACTTAATTTATTAACATACGTATTTATTGACATTGTAATAACAGCGCTGCACCTCGGACTCCTTTCTCGAGAACTGACCATTTTCCGATGTGTCAAATGAAATGGATCTCTCAAGTGATTTGCATATTTATTAAATAATTCGTGCGTACGCACCAACGCACGATACAGCTAATTTTCGATATTCTAAAAGAGATTTAAGGGAATATGTT